ATGCATGAATTCTCTTTTGAAACGAATTCCTGTTCAATATTACGGCTGAGTTCCTGAGCATGCGTTTCGGGATGTCACTCGCCACTGATGTCAGCCGTGGCCAGGAATCAATCCGTTTGTTGTTGGGCTTCAGGGCGCAGTGCGGGAACCCACAGTGCCATTGTCTCCACCAGATGTTCTGTTTCGCACCAGCTGTTGTTGCGTGCGATCCACCGATCCCCACTTCCTTGTTTCTCTTATTAAAACTAAACAAATTTTATCTTACCAGCAAAATCCCGCTGAGCTATATACAGTAAAACCTTGGATTGCGAGCATAATTCGTTCCGGAAACGTGTTTGTAATCCAAAGCACTCGTATATCAGTTGTGATCGCGTGACGCTCGGCAGTACAAAGCGTGTATACGTACTGCTCGTATTGCAAGACCTCGCTCGTTTATCAAATTAATATTTAAAATTTTTGCTCGTCTTGCAAAACACTCGCAGACCAAGTTACTCGCAATCCAAGGTTTTACTGTACATCTCTTTCTCAGAAGCGACCTGGCCACAAATGATCGACAAAGTGGCTTATCATGTGGAAATTGAAATGCGTGATGTTGATTCTAAATGTACAAGGAAAAACCGGAGGACTTGAAGAAAAATCCACGTGACCACGGGCAGAGATACTTGCAAACTAGAAATATACAGCAGGCATCGGGGTCGTGATCGAACCGACGACCTCCTGCATACCAGGCGAGGGAGTTAACATCTCCTAGCCCCCGCGGTGCCTTTAACGATAACCTTGCAAACAGACGAGCCTGCATTTCAAGGCCTTTAAGATCAATCTTTGTTTAAGAACGGCATTATCCCCACTTTTAAATCACGAATGACCCCGTGTACCGCTGATATAAGGATATCTTGGCCTGTCTGAATTCCACCCAACATGACGATTTCAAAACACAAAGAATTTCCCCTTTGGTGCAGAACGCAGCTATCGTATAGACTATCAAAGAGAGGTGCGTGTTATTATTGAGCACACACAAAGATTCCCCCGTGTATCGGTCTTTACAGACTTCTTTGCCGCAAGTGCTTGTTGGCGAGCACCTGTGACGGCCGGCACGGCGCACGAGGCGGTGGGCAGGCCAGCACCACGCTCGGCCGCCTCTGTCTCCCCAGTGGCGATGCTTACACATCGCGCCACCGGGTATTCATTTGAAGCCGAGTCGACCTCGGTGAGGCCCAGGACGATCGTCACCGCTGATTGGCCACGGCCGGGCACGTACGGCGCGGAAGACGTTCAACTTGCATAGCGTCCGTGAGCGGGAATCAACACAGGGCCCCGTGTGGGTTCGTAGCTCGGCGCGCTAACCGCACCCGCTCGCGCGCGTGCATGGTGCGCATTTTCGACAAGCGTCGCATTTCTTTTAAACGCGCAGTCGGAACAAATGCGATTGGGCATCAGGTGTTTTTGTGTGTGTAGTGGTTTGTGTGTCCGCTATGCTTCAGTGGAAACGCTTAATTTGCAATTGTTTTTGCTTCTGCTTTGCATAGCTGACACTGTGACATGGTGTACCACACTCTCTTGCCTCACTTGTGTTGCTTTTTGACTTGTCGCTCTGCCGCACAGGCGGTGTGCATATATATATTTTTTATTAGACGATATATCCTGACGGAGCACTTTTCGTGCCAAGACGCACGGGGGCAGAGCATTTTCCATTCCCGAGGCTCCTAAAGATGACAAAGTTCTCCCGTGTAGCCCCAACGAACTTGGGGAAAGTTTCATTTCATTTTCATTTCATTTATTTGGTATAGCCCTGTGAGCCATTCGGCTCTTGAATCGGGTGCAACCGCAACAAACAAAAAAACAAAAACATGAACAAGAAAACATCTTAAAGTGACTTTGTGCATGTGCAAACAGAAAATCCAGGAAAAAATATCAAAATATTCCTGAAATAGCACCTTACACCAACGATGTGTGCAAAAATCCCAGTGGGATGCAAGTCAACAACAAGAAAACTTAGATTAAGGCCATCAGCCTAACTCCATACTACAATAAACAAAAACATGGCCAAACCAAAAAACTTTTAGAAATCACCAAAATAAAGCCATAATTGCAATGTAACAGTGATCATAGGAACTGTGACCGAATTTTTTACAATAAACTACATAAATAACATGTAACACCAAACCCTAGAGCCACAGCTGGCTGCATGAGTCACTCCACAAACAACAGGAGCATCAGTCGGAGTATCACATTTTTCAATGCACCTTTAAGATCAGCACACTAAATCAAAATACAGATAATACTTTGCAGCGGTCATCCGGATCGAAACATTCTATTTTATTTTAGGCCACTGAATAGCAGTGGCAGCTAGGGGTGTACAACTCCTCTAGAGCAGTTTTGAGTGAAGATCTCATAGGTAGTGATTCAAGTTGCAGTTTATTGGCAATAGCATTCCAGACCCTGGGGGCATCAATAGCAAAGGCCCTTCCTCCGGTTTTTGTACGGCAATAGGGAATGTGAAGCTGGTAGATGAGCGAAGACCTGAGGTCAAATTTGTTCTTTGAAACAGAGAGGAGATCCAGCATGCTAAATTATATACTAAATCCTTTGTCAAGGAGCTTTGTTTCTTCTCGCACAGCTTGAAGGTCGTGATCTGAGCGTGGCTTTTTTCAACTCCAGCGCTGTCCTCCAGACAGTCTCGTCCCTTCACCTGATGAAGGCCGCTTGTGTTGCAGCCGAAACGTCGTGATTTTTGTTATTTTATTTTTTACCTACGTGCCTTTACCCAATAGAACCAAAGAGTATGGATCCTAGCAGTCACGAAAGCTTTAAATCTAGAATCCAGCAGGTAGTCTGCGGATTTTTGTTGTAAGTACATCGTGAATAATTAAGATTTGGTGCACAAGCCGTCAAGTGCTGTCAGCGAGCACCTGTGAAGGCCGGGACGGCACACGAGGGGGCGGGTGGCCGGCACACCACGCCCGGCCGCCTTTGTCTCCCAGTGGCGACATTTACACACCGCACCAGGTACCCATTTCGGGCTGAGTCGACGTAGGGGATGCCCTGGACCAGGGAACTGAAACTCGGGCCATCGGGTTCGTAGCGCAGCGCGCGCTAACCGCCGTCACGCTACCTCTCCCCGAAAAATGTCACGCACAAGCGCAGTATGAAACCCTAAGAGATGAATTCAACCGTTTCTCGTACGGGGTCAGATTTGAAAGGAACTCGTCGTGCCTGAGAGTGCAGCCACCTTGGAGACGGACGCCCGCAGGAGCCAGACGGATGGCGTGAGCGGTGCGAGATACGGCAGAGGTGGCGACATGCCATGGGAATCTGGAATTTCCACTCTTCGCGGGGCAGGGGGGGGGTGCTGTAAATGGAATACGAGCTCATGGCTTCGGCGTTCGTTCGATCAGGAAGTAGTGGAGATTCGTCACGGATTCAACCGTAAACACACAGCTGTTACTATAATGATTACTACAAGCCTTTTGGTGTGTCAATGCACAATATAATTTTTAACGTTCTTTATTTAAATCGCTTGCAGTATGCACGGCATCCCCCGTAACCGCAGAGGCTTTAAACCCACGGCCCCCCCTCCCACCCACACCAATTAGTCCGGCTGGCTGGGACAGCTTTTGCGGAAGTGGTCCGCGTGATTATTTGTGGCCACGATCTTTAACGAGCTTGGGGCGCGGCCGCACGCGCTCCCACGTGGCCTTAGAACCCCGTGGGAGGGTTTAGCTGCCGATCTCGCCGTCAGCTTCACTTGCCAGCAGCTGAGCGTGACTCAGCAAGCAGCAGCTCCCACGTTATGTGTCCCTGGGAGGAGATGTGGCGGCGGGGCGGGGGGTGGCTTAAGTGTTTAGTAGTTGAAGCAGTAATGACATTGAGGGATTTTTGTGGTCTGGGACTGTTGTTGTCTTGGTGTGGTCTGGGACTGTTGTTGGTGTTGTCTTGGTGTGGTCTGGGACTTGGTGTAGTCTGGGACTGTTGTTGGTGTTGTTGTGGTGTGGTCTGGGACTGTTGTTGTCTTGGTGTGGTGTGGTCTGGGACTGTTGTTGTCTTGGTGTGGTGTGGTCTGGGACTGTTGTTGTCTTGGTGTGGTGTGGTCTGGGACTGTTGTTGTCTTGGTGTGGTCTGGGACTGTTGTTGTGTTGGTGTGGTCTGGGACTGCTGTTGTTTTGTTGCCCTGCATTTGGTAATGGATATTCGACTTTTGCCGATTTGTACTTCGCGTTGCATAGAGATGGTGACGGATAATCCGGCCAGCATGACCCTCCCCTCCTGCGGTTCCCAATCGGAAAGGAACATGGAATTTTCACCGCTGGCTCGGAGTATAAAACAGGAGTGGAGGGAGCACCAGTGGCTTCACTACTGCTCGAGCAAGGGGGAGACCCGTTTGACTTTTATACGTTTAGAGTAAAAACCCCGTGATTAGCAAGGCGGCTCATGACAACCGCGGATTGTGTCTCTTGACAAAAATCACTTGCGAGGATGGACGGATGAAAGAAGATCGATTTAAGATAATGTGTTGGTCGCGATGGTGGCGATGGTGGCAGTGGTGACGGACGAGTCGGCGGCGATGATGAACAACATTTTTTTTTTTTACCAAGCGAGGCCCAAACTGAGCTACGTAGCTCTTTTTCTCAGAAGCAACCTGGCTACCGCAAATGATAGCTCAATGAAGTGGCTTATCATGTTGAAATTTACATCAGCCAAATACTCTAAACGTGTGATGTTGATTCAAAACGTGGAGGGAAAAAACGGAGAAAAATTCACTCGACTACGGGGGAGAGAGACGCACGCAAACTCCAAATATACAGCAGCAGGCGTCAGGGTCGGAATCGAGCCCACGACCTCCTGTATACCAGGCGAGGTAGTCAACATCTCACAGGGTCTGGAATCGAGCCCACGATCTCCTGTATACCGGGCGAGGTAGTTAACATCAACCTCGCCACCGACGATAGCGACAGGGTCGTTATACGAGTTGCGTCGTTGTCGTCCGCGCGATCCCTGCCCAGGATTCCGCTGCGCAAGTTCACGACGATGCGGCACACGATGGCAGGCGCCGGCGGCAAAATCGAGCGGCTTGTGGCTGACGAGCGCCACCTCAAGTACAGCGCGCCGGCCCTGCGCAACGGCACCACGCCCGAGGCCCTCAAGAACTACATGGATGTAAGGGCCATCCCTCCCGCTCACCCCCTAGCCTGTGACCCTGCCCGTCCCTACCCTGTGACCCTGCCCGTCCCTACCCTGTGACCCTGCCTGTCTCTACATGTCTCTACCCTGTGACCCTTCCCTACCCTGTGACCCTGCCCGTCCCTACCCTGTGACCCTGCCCGTCCCTACCCTGTGACCCTGCCCGTCCCTACCCTGTGACCCTGCCCGTCCCTACCCTGTGACCCTGCCCGTCCCTACCCTGTGACCCTGCCCGTCCCTACCCTGTGACCCTGCCCGTCCCTACCCTGTGACCCTGCCCGTCCCTACCCTGTCACCCTGCCCGTCCCTACCCTGTGACCCTGCCCGTCCCTACCCTGTGACCCTGCCCGTCCCTACCCTGTTGACCCTGCCCGTCCCTACCCTGTGACCCTGCCCGTCCCTACCCTGTGACCCTGCCCGTCCCTACCCTGTGACCCTGCCCGTCCCTACCCTGTGACCCTGCCCGTCCCTACCCTGTGACCCTGCCCGTCCCTACCCTGTGACCCTGCCCGTCCCTACCCTGTGACCCTGCCCGTCCCTACCCTGTGACCCTGCCCGTCCCTACCCTGTGACCCTGCCCGTCCCTACCCTGTGACCCTGCCCGTCCCTACCCTGTGACCCTGCCCGTCCCTACCCTGTGACCCTGCCCGTCCCTGCCCGTCCCTACCCTGTGACCCTGCCCGTCCCTACCCTGTGACCCTGCCCGTCCCTACCCTGTGACCCTGCCCGTCCCTACCCTGTGACCCTGCCCGTCCCTACCCTGTGACCCTGCCCGTCCCTACATGTTTCTACCCTGTGACACTGCACCTTATCTCACGGATAAGGCAACAGCGGATAACCCCATGGACAATAGGATCTGTGATATTAGTGCGTTTCCCCCCCCCCCCCCCCCCCCCCCCCCCCCGTATGGCACGCACACACACGTGTGGTCGCTTAACTTTCGTGAAGAGATTGCCTGGGAAAACAATTTGCTTCGCTTTTACTGCAGCCACCGAACTCTGTGACCTCCCCCCCCCCCCCACCACCTCCGTGAGATTCTCCGGCTCGGTTTATAGAGCCGCTGAGAAGACTGCACTGCGTGCTCATGTTTACCAGTCGCTGTGCAATTAAAATATCTCTCCTGGGTTAATGGCTCACCAACCATCGGTGTCCCGGGGACTTTTCCACGAGGGCGGCAGGGCTTTCGGGCTGCTGCCTTGGTGATTTTACCGTTTACAGGCACGCACGAGCTGCTGCTGCTGCTGCGAAAGCGTGTGAATGTGTTGGCGTGCGTGCCCTGCCCCCCCCCCCCGTTAGCATGCAGTAGGGGGGACAGTGCGGAAAAATCCACCGTTGCATCATACGTCTTAATTCTTTAATTCTATCCTTGCGCGTCCAGTCTGACCCCCCCCCCCCCCCTTTCGCCAACCCGTGCCAACGAGCGCGGGGGAGAGAACGGTCGAAGGGTCGAAGTGACCGCACGGCCTCCACACAGGGATCGGGGAACCCAAACGCTTCACACACCATGCACATGGGCACGCACCCTGCATCAGTTCTATCCAAAGCTTTGGTCTTGTCCCACAGACTATAAGGCATTTATACTTTGGTCCCTTTCCGTTACTTCTTCATGTGGGTGTAGACGCCATTTCTGCGAGGGTTGGCTTGCACAGAGTGTACAACAAACAAGCTAAAGTCCAAAGCGACGGGTCTGCGCGAACGCTCGCCACACAAGGACCGTTCCGTACGGCAATTCGGCTCGTGGCGAATTACTAACACGCCGTATAAATATTCCGAAAGTGCAGCCGTGCCGAATTGTCCCCAATTACGAACGATCACTTACCGAAATGACGAGGTTTTTACTGTGTCTGTAATTGGCGTGCAATCGCGCGTGTAAGCGTTTGGTGCCCTGCGAACCCGGCGATCGGAGTTCGGTTCCCGCTCGCGGCCAACAACAGTGGCGCACGTTTCAACCAGTCCTGGGCCTCCCCTGTAAATCCGTCGACGTTTTGTGTGTCACACGAAACGCCCCAAAAATTTTTCGCCGGCGTTGTGCCCAGCTAAGTTTCGCGAGGAATAATCCGCGGTGCGTCGTCGTCGTCGTCGTCATGGAACGAGATCGACAACATCGGAGCGATCCGGCCTTAGGAACGGGGGCAGCGGCGGAACAGAACGCGTCGGGAGGTGCAGGCAGGAATAGTGTCCAAGGGACATTCGTCAACGCGGCCTGATATACGGGGGCGTCGTTTTTGCGTGTAAGCACGCGCACTTGGGGAGACAAAGGCGGCCGGGTGTGGCGTTGGCCACACACCCCCGTCGTGTGCCAAGCCGGCCTTCATCGGTGCTCTCTTAACAGGACTTGCCCCAGACGGTGTTTAAAGGCTACGCGGGTGGTCCTTTGTCTTCGGCGTGGTGCAGGCCCAGTACTACGGAGAGATCGGCATCGGCACCCCGCCGCAGCTCTTCACGGTCATCTTCGACACGGGCTCTTCCAACCTGTGGGTGCCGTCCATCCACTGCTCGCTGCTCGACATCGCCTGCTGTGAGTCTCCCACCCCCCCACCCCCCCCCCCCACTCCACTCGGCGAGGGCAAAACGTTCTTAAGTGGAAACCGCTAGGGGCCGGCTCGTTAGCTACGAACCGTGGCTTAAAACAAAACTTTATGTTTTTGTCATTCAAAAAGCCATAATACAAAAGCAGATTTTATTTAAAAACAAAAAATAAACAACAGCACGTGACGTGTAACAAAGTCGGCGCCATACACCCTCAAAATTAGCGAACGATTGGGCGGCTCCACGCTCATGACTTGTATTATTGTTATTATTGTTTATTATTATTACTACTCTATCCGTCGATAGTTCGCCGCGGCTGCAGGTAAACTCTGAAACGCGGGCCCCCGCTGAGCTTGCCGATTGCGCCACTTCGCGGCAGCTCCCAGTGGAGCTGACGGACTGCGAATGGGCGAGCGAGTGAGAGCGAGAGAGCGAGTTCACACGTGCGTGAGTGGGAGAGAGAGCGAGTTCACACGTGTGTGAGTGGGAGAGAGATGGAGTTCACACGTGTGTGAGTGGGAGAGAGATGGAGTTCACACGTGTGTGAGTGGGAGAGAGAGCAGGCAGGTGAGTGAGTGAGAGAGCGAGAGGGTGGGTGTGCGCGAGTGAGCGAGTTCACACGTGTGTGAGTGGGAGAGAGAGCGGGCACGTGAGTGAGTGAGAGAGCGCGAGGGTGGGTGTGCGCGGGTGTGCGCGAGTGAGCGAGCGAGAGAGCGAGTTCAGACGTGAGTGAGTGAGCGAGCGGGCGTGCGTATGCGTCATTGGAGGATAAACCCGTCCCCCGTCCCCCCGGGCCACGGGTTATTGATGAACGTCTTCTATTGCGTCCGCGTGGCCTCGCCGGCTCCCCGGGCGTCCGCAGTGCTCCACCACAAGTACGACTCGTCCAAGTCGAGCTCCTACGTGAAGGACGGCCGCGACTTCGCCATCCAGTACGGCACGGGCAGCCTGTCGGGGTACCTGAGTCAGGACACCACCACGGTGACTGCCAACCCACCCCCCACACTGAATCAACACGATATATACACGATCACTGAATGAATGCATAGCCAACCGTGCTAATATATATTAGATCACTGAACGAGTGATATGTTTTAGATCGCTGAATCAATGCGATATGTATTTAGAAGATCACTGAATGCATCGAGTGCATGTTGAACCTCTTTCACACCGTACGTAGCCTTACCGTTATAATGTATGCATTCGATCACTGAATGAAGACGCTATATATGCGTGTACAAGATGACTGAGCATCTCCCTGCTGCTGCAGATCGGAGACCTCTCGGTGAAGAAACAGGTGTTCGGTGAGGCCATCAAGCAGCCGGGCATCACCTTCATCGCCGCCAAGTTCGACGGAATCCTCGGCATGGCCTACCCCTCCATCGCCGTCGACCAGGTCACCCCGGTCTTCGACAGCGTCATCGCCCAGAAGTTGGTCGACAAGAACGTCTTCTCCTTCTACCTGAACAGGTGAGCCGGCGAGCCCGCCGCGGGAGTTGCTCGTGACGGCTACCCGTTACCCAGGTAAACACCCAGCTAGGAGACGGGGTGTGGATCTCAGGAGTTACCTTCAGGCCACTGTGTGCGTGCGATTATCTGCTGCGGAAGGGTGTGTGTGCGCGTGCGTGTGTGTGTGTCGTTGAAACGCCGGCCTTGCTAAGTCACGAGCGAACTCGCAGGAACCAAACGTGACGTCCGTGTAAGGTGCCGAAAGGGATTGCCGACTAGCGACCCAAGCGAGGTCACCGTGAGAATTTGCGTGCATGCAGTGGCATGACTCTTTGAATGATGTCACTGCATCTCCAAGATGTTAACTACAATCGCCTGGTATACAAGAGGATCATGGGTTCGATCCCGACCCTGACACCTCTATATTTGGAGTTTGCGTGTCTCTCCCCGTGGTCACGTGGATCTGTCTCCGGGTGCTCCGGTTTTTTGCTCCACATTTAAAATCAACAACATCACGCGTTTAGAGTTTGGTTGCTCCTATTAATTTCCACACGATAAGCCGCTTCATCGAGCTCTCGTTTGCGATGGCGAGGTCGCTTCTGCGAAAGAGCTACACAGCTCGGTGAGTCTTCCCTGGTAAAAAAAAAAAAAAATTGTTACGAAGTTTTAGTTTAAGTGGCGGTGTTGTCACAGCTATATAGCTCAGTGGGCCTTACCTGGTAAAATGTAAAATAAAAATAGCGGGTCTAACGTCCACTGTGATGCAGACGGCGTGCGTGCGCGCGTTACGTAATAAAACGCACCCGCGGTATTAACCAGGGCCGCCGGCCGGATTCGAAGCTGCAAGACTCTGCTTGGTAAGCCCCCCCGACCCCCCCCACCCCGTGACCATTGCCGTTGCAGGGACCCGCAGGCCCCGATGGGTGGGGAGCTGATGCTGGGCGGCGCCGACCCCAAGTACTACAAAGGGGAGCTATCGTACGTGCCCGTCACGCGCCAGGCCTACTGGCAGATCCAGATGGACGGGTGAGTGCCAGCACCTGGTGTAGTCCCCAGGCTGGTCGACATTTACCGCGGTGGGGAAAAACAAAAAAAAATGTTGCGGTAAAAGAGTGATTGCCTCTTTGGAGGAATTGTAACGGGGGGAACGTACGTTGCGGACACCCCATGCCTTGGCGAACTTCTGTAACTTCGCAAGAGCCCCTTGGAGCTGGTGGTTGTCCTCACCCCGCCCGCACCATCCGATTAGCACGGTTGGCCACGCGCACGGCGCGAAAGAAGTTTACCGCACGCGCGCGTTGTTAATGCCGACGGTATATGGGTAACAGGCCCCGCTGGGTGGGGGAGGGGGGCGTGGGCCCGGAAGCTTTGTAAACCCCCCGGGGGTGCCGTCGGTGTCGCAGGCTGAACGTGGAGGGCGGCCTGGCGCTGTGCAGCGGCGGCTGTGCGGCCATCGTGGACACGGGCACCTCGCTCATCGCCGGCCCCACCAAGGAGGTGGAGGCACTGCAGAAGGCCATCGGCGCCATTCCGCTCGTGATGGGAGAGGTGGGTCGCCCGCGCTGACCCCTGACCCCTGACATCCATCCCCCCCCTCCCCCACCCCGGCCCGACATCACGCTCCTCACACCGACGCTCCGCCCCGCTTGCTAGGAGTTTAGTTCGTCGACCCGAGTCGTCGATTCTCGTCTGCGTCCTGTGCGTGCGGTCGCACCGCATGAATGCCAAGTCGCAGTGAGGTGCACGTGTAGGTCGGAGGTCGAGAGCGCCGTTTGAGGGCCTGGGCTCGAACCTGGGCGGCGACCTCGTGATTGAACCGTGTCCGTGTGTAGACGAGTTTGACGGTCTTACTTGCATGCGTAGCACAAACACTAAACCCCTCCCCCCCCCACCCCACGTCTTATTACATTTGGTTATTCATTTCCAGCTCTTGAGGATCAAAAGCACCAGGTTTAACGGACTCGCAACAAACAACTCTCAAGTGGCGGGGCGGGTGGTTAAAATGCGGTCTTCTAACGTGTGGCCCATAGGACACTCGGAAGTAGCTCCATGGTGTCTGCTTTCTGTGGGGGGGGGGTGGGGGGGGTGGGGGGGGGTGGGGGGGTGGGGGGGGTGGGGGGGTGGGGGGGGGTGGGGGGGTGGGGGGGGTGGGGGGGTGGGGGGGGTGGGGGGGTGGGGGGGTGGGGGGGTGGGGGGGGGTGGGGGGGTGGGGGGGGTGGGGGGGGTGGGGGGGGTGGGGGGGGTGGGGGGGTGGGGGGGGTGGGGGGGTGGGGGGGTGGGGGGGTGGGGGGGTGGGGGGGGTGGGGGGGTGGGGGGGTGGGGGGGGTGGGGGGGTGGGGGGGGTGGGGGGGTGGGGGGGGTGGGGGGGTGGGGGGGGTGGGGGGGTGGGGGGGGTGGGGGGGTGGGGGGGTGGGGGGGTGGGGGGGGTGGGGGGGTGGGGGGGGTGGGGGGGTGGGGGGGGTGGGGGGGGTGGGGGGGGGTGGGGGGGTGGGGGGGGTGGGGGGGTGGGGGGGGTGGGGGGGTGGGGGGGGTGGGGGGGTGGGGGGGGTGGGGGGGTGGGGGGGGTGGGGGGGGTGGGGGGGGTGGGGGGGGTGGGGGGGGTGGGGGGGTGGGGGGGGGTGGGGGGTGGGGGTGGGGGGGGTGGGGGACACCATTCCGCAACGTGGATTGGCTTGCTGCGTCTCGCGACATGATGCTCGTACGGCAAACCGCGATGAAGTCGCCTTTGGCAGATGCACCTTGTTTGTTTAACGCAGTCGGACGATTAACTCCTTACTGCGAGGCCAGTGGCCGAGTCTGAAGATTTCTTTTAGTCCCGTTTGCGCAAATGTGACGGCCTTCCCACCCTCCCCCCCCCCCCGCCCCCGCCCCCCCCCCCGCAGTACATGATCAACTGCAACAAGGTCCCCACTCTGCCCGTCATTGTCCTGACCATCGGCGGCAAGAAGTACAGCCTGACGGGCGAGCAGTACGTCATGAAGGTGAGCGCTCGCCGCCGGGCTCGGGGGGGGGGGGGGGGGGGGGGGGAGGAGGCTTTCTCCCCGATGGACAGCGTCGGCATCACCGAGGTCAGGCGGCCGAATCGGACGGGGGCAATATTTTCTCGGGGCATGCAGAGGAAGCGTACGCTCCCAAGTGCGGATGCTAAGAAGAGCAATCCGTAACGCGCGCAACACTTGACGAATGAAACGGCGACGCACAATTCGAGGGCGGGGGTTGGGGGGGGGGGGCTTGGAGCCAAAGTTTAAAAGTCCCTCTTGCGGAGACTTCCTTGCCGGCGCAGAGCAAATGGCAGGGCTGCGCGTTTCACCATCACGCTAGATGGGGCAGGTAGCCCGGAGGCGTCCACTCCACATGTTGTCATTTGTTTCCACTTTCCTCCCTTGTCGTTTGCCAATATGCTCGAAAAGTGGCACCATCTTTTATGGCACCAATCTCTTCGAAACTAAAACTGAACAATTTTTTAAAATTTATTTTACCAGGTAAGGCCCCCACTGAGCTATACAGTAGCTATTTTTCAGAAGCGACCTGGCCACAGATGATAGCTCAACAAAGTGGAAATTTATAGCAGCAGCCAAATACTCTAAAACACGTGATGTTGATTCTAAACGTGGAGGGAAAAACCGGAGGACCCGGAGCTAAAAATGCACGAGACCATGGGGGGGGGGGGGGGGGAGACGCGCAAGCTCCAAATATAGAGCAGCAGCGGGCATCAGGGTCGGGATCGAACCCACGACCTCCTGCATACCTGGCGAGGTAGTTAACATGAGGTGAGCCAAGCGGGCCTTTAACCCCCCCCCTTCTACCTTCCCCGGCGTGCCCTTCTCTCGCAGGTGAGCCAGGCAGGCCAGACCGTGTGCCTGAGCGGCTTCATCGGCATGGACATCCCCCCGCCGGCGGGCCCGCTCTGGATCCTGGGCGACGTGTTCATCGGGCCCTACTACACCGTCTTCGACCGCGACAACAACCGCGTGGGATTCGCCGAGGCCGTGTGACCGAGCAGAGGCCTGTCCCCCACCCGCCCCCAAGTCTCCACCCTACTCGCCCCCTCCCTGCCCCGCCTGTTCGGCGATATGACTTGAACCCCTGGGTGGCAGTGCGATATTTAACTCGGATTTCGTTCCGTAATGACGTACCAACGTGTACCGTACTTGTACCTAAGAACGCCAAAAAAAAAATCCCGTAGCGTAATAGCGTACTGCCGCACCCTTGCTTGACCCTGTGCCATTACATTTTGTGATGCATCAGGTCCAGTCTCCCCCTGCCCTCACCCCCGTGCTCATAATTCCATAATTTTGAGATTAACCGGATGTTATAAGAAACTTCTGCGTCATAATTTTTTTTTTAAATATCTTACCTGGCAGATTTTTGTTGACTTTCATTTCAGTTGTTACAAAGAAAATCCTGGCAAAATCCTGAGACTCGCCAGAATAAAACTGCTCACAACGACGAAACATTTAGCTCGGCCAGCTTACCTTTTTCTCGAACGTTCTCCGATTCGGGGCCCCATCAGGGCTCCTCCGTGGCCCACAGCCGCCCTTCACACCTCTTGGTTGGCCACGGCGACGATGGGCGATGGTGAGTGGGCAACGGTGGGAGGGGGGTGGGCAGAAGGGAAAATCGGCTCCAATTTGGTTCCCGGTCGCGCTTTCGCCCGCTTCTGGACGAAACGCGACTGTCTTTCACAGTTGCGCTATTTCCATTGCCGCAAATGTTCGCGCTCAGTCTGTGGCTCTTAACTTGGGGGTCCATCCCGCCAAACCCCTCCCTGTGGGTGTGTGAGACACACCCTTCCTGGGCGTGCGAGACATGGTCAGATTTTTTTTTTAGAAGGGAAATCAACGAAACACACTAAGCACGGGCAAACGTAATTTAGAACTTACTTTTGTTTCATCAAACCGCGATGTGTTTATGAACATTGTGCATTTTTGTAACAATCGATTGAGAACCAGAGGGGGGGGCGCAAGGCCGCAGTAAAGGTTAAGAGCCGCTGATCGAAGTCGAAGGTAAGCGGTCGAAGTAAACTTCCAGAGCGCGCGTGCCCCTTGACCGAATAATTTTGGAAAAAAAAAGTTTCGCGTTGCGGTTTCGCACGTGCGAGGAAGGCAGCCAGTGAACGAGTTGAATGAACAAAAAAAAAATTACTCCAGCAACAATCGGTCCGGTTACCCAGTGTAACGGGCCCTTGGTTCGGGAGGACAGCACGCGCCAATTATTGTTCAGCGGCGCATTGCACCAAAGGCCCTTGAGCCAAAGTGCGTCTCGGTTCTGAGCTCGGGACTTGACTTTAATGCCACCGCTCGGATTTTAAAGTATGCCGATGAATTGGCGCAAAACGGCTTAGTGTCCTGGACTCGACCCAACCCCCCCCCAGCGGCTGTCGCCTGAAGGTTTTGCCAGAGATGGAGCGAAAAGCAACTTGAGCTTTCTCTCTCCTCCCACCCCCCCTCCCCCCCGTAGCATGACAGATTAAAACAATGAAAACAGTCTCGCTAGACTTCAAACTTGACAGGCCCGGGACACCCCTTCAGTGTCGCAGCAATCCGTGCGCCGTTCCTCACCGACCTGCCGCAAAGTGCTTCTTGATTGGACGGCGCTCTGCAACGCCGATTTTGTCTTGGTCCCGCGGACGTTTGTGACAGCGATGTGGTTGACAGTCTGCCCCACCCATCCAGCTCAAGTCCTTAACTGCCCTTTGCACTACTGTGTTTTTTTCTTGTTAAATGTTTCCATTCATTCACCATTTTTCAAATCGGTGGTGGTTTTTGCCGTGCTTTGGGACATTTTTGAAGCGAGCTGCACATTGTACCCGCGATTAAAACCTGCACGTTCATTTTTCTGGGCTTGTGAATCAAATGCAACGTTTCCAGTGACGGCATCTTGCGCCTGGAAGCCACATTGGGTGTTTATTTTTTGTCAAGTGGCGGTTGGACTGATCCCCACCGTCTTCCCCAACACATACAAGGCTCGTGGCTGTTAGGCGATCCATGCCACTGCATCTTGGCGATGCCACAATTACCTTGGGAGCGTTTCGTGGGATGGTAATTCCCGTTTTGACGATGGCAAGCTTGGCACGGTGAGAATTTAACAACCGGGAGTGTCTCTCCCCACGTGGGGAGCTACAGTCGCTAAAGAAACCGTCGCCAACGCATTACATCCTAAGGACTTGCTGCTTTTGCAATTCTGCCTTGACGGCAGTGTGTGTGTGTGTTGAACTTCTATCGTCGCCGGATGTCAGCGAGAGCACACGTTGCCCCCCCCCTCCCCAGCTCGCTTAATTTGTCGTGGAACGACGTGGCGGAGGCTCGCCACCTTGTGCTGATGACGTGCTGCTTCACTGTCACGTGTGTGTGTGGCCCAGCCGTGATTCCTGGACACACCAATACGTGCTTGCTGGCTGAATCGTTTTTTTTTGTTTACCCCTGCGCCCTGTCTTTGATTTAATTGGATGGTATAAAGGTAGTGGAGCGGATGGCCCGGAGGCAAGGATGTAATTTTGAAGGCTAGTTGAGAATTAAAAAAAATGCAGATTCAGAATGTGTGTGGTATCAAATATTTGCGTTGCTTTTAATAAAGTTGTAAATGGATGGAGATTGTTTTAACATGTCTGCTTTTCGTTTGGGAGTGCCCGTGACGGTGTGAACTGGACGGTGCAATGGAACACATCGAGATGAGACGACGGGCAGCATTGGAATTGTAAATGCACGTCAAACGGTGGACTGAGAATCAATGCCACAGAGGGTTGGGTAGGGGTGTGGTAAGTCGGCCATGGTACGTACGTTGGAACCTCTTTCGGATGGAGCCAACCGTGCTAAAATCGGAGGTGCGCGGGGGGGGGGGGGGGGAAGACAACCTAAACAAGCAATTATGCAACAAAAATTAGTTTTGTCAATCTAGCTGACTTAAAGACCAGCTCCAGTGGCTTACTAACATGGGATGGAAGAGCGTCCCAGGCGGCTGCAGAAGCGCATCTGAAAGTGACCATCTTTGTTCGAACGGTTAGCCACAATATTAGCTGTTGGTGCACTTCTCTCAATCCCGGTATCTCGAGCCATTTCTTTAGAAGAACCACCTCGCACGTTTTCGGTCTTCAACTTATCCAACTTCCACTAGCGTGCCTGTGGGCCTCTTGTTTGCCGCGTCTAGCTTCAAGTGGTTGCGAGTAGTCCCGTGTCGACCTGGTGGGAGGGTCACAATATTATTTCCAATACCTGGATGTAAAAATTAAAATCGCACGTTCTTCCTTATTCCGAGACGAAACGAGGTTCAGTGTCTTGAGCCGATCTGCAAATGTCCTGCTGTTCAATCCAGGAATGTACGTGTGTGTTGAGCTTATTTCGCAGCGTACGTAGTATACCGTGCTAATCGAAGGTGGGGGGTGGGGGGGGCATCACCGCTCCCAGTTGGGAATCCCTGCACCTCCGATTAGCACGGTTGGTTATGTACGGCGACAAAGAAGTTTCAACGCACGTGCGATACACGCCGCCCCTTAAAGAGCCTGGGGCATTCCCGAGATATAAATTCTACGCTTTTTCACTCGCCATTGCACACCGTAATTCGGCACGCAAAGATTAAATCGGGATACACTTTTACACAATGCCCTGCGACATGGCGAATTTAGTTTGGCGACGACGGGCAAGGGCTGACGCAAATAAAAACGCAACATTTTAAACTAGATTCCCTTTGTCAATGGGTGACGACGAGCAAGAGAACCCCCGAGATTTGGAAAAAATTCTGGCGGCGCCCCCCCACCCTCCGCTCCGTAAACATTCGGCGAATGGAAGTTACCTTTTGAGTCGAGATGCAATATCGGCACCACGTGTTTTAACGCAACAGAAATAATGTTTTATCGTCAATTATATTCGCGCACGCATTGTACAAACACGCGCGTGAAAAGCTCACACAATCACAATACACCGCATTCCGAATTCACAATCTCCCCACGCGTAACTTTGAGTGCGTTGGAAATCCAGGCGCATGTATCGCCTCTCTTCCATTTCATTTGCAACTCTCTCACTCTTTGGGTCTTTCGGTAAAGTCACGTCGAAAAAAATAATAAAAAAAATAAAAATTCACCTGAAAACGATTCCTTGTGTTGCGATCGAAACGTCGTTACTTAAAAAAAATATGTTTTTTTCTATCTACGTGACTTTACCGAAAGACCCAAAGAATGTGAATTCGTGCAGTCACGAAAGCTTCAAGTCAAGATCTGGGAGCGTCGTTCAACCCACGTGGACGAGTCTCAAGAAACCAGCCGCGGTGCGATCTGTAATAAAATAGTTTTTATTTAAAATCTGTATGTATAGCAATTATTTACACGATTGTTTTTTTTCCTCTCTCTCTCTCTTACATTGTCGAAGCAAACTCCCAACGTGGACAAGCGGACGCTTTCACCGATAAGACATCACCGGCGTGAGGTCCGCCACACATTTGAAACCATTGTTGGGTTTGTTGACAGCAGCACAATGATGATGACCATGTTGGGGGGGGGGGGGTTAAGGTGAGGGAGCCGTGGGGTTTGTGGCCTAGCGATTTGCTCTACGACACGAACCCGGGGGTCGTTCTGAGAGCTTAATTCCTGGCTCACGACAAACTTCGCTGGTGAACCGGTGAGGGCACTCCAAAGACAAAGAGCCCCCCGGGTATAGCCTGGCCAGACTGTTGGGGCAAGTGCTGTTAGCGATCACCTGTGAAGGCCGACACGGCAACACGAGGGGGTGGGGCGGACAGCACTACGCCCGGCCGCCTTTGTCTCCCCGAGTGGCGACGTTCACACACCGCACCACGGTACTCATTTGGGGGGCGAGCCGACCAAGGGAAGAGGCCCACGACCGCTTCGGATAATTGTCACCCTGGTTGTGTGGGCCGTGAGCGGGAATCCAACTCGGGCCGCCGGGTTTTGTAGCGCTGAACGCTGGACGCTGCACTGCTGCTGACCTTCACAAGGACACATTGACCTTCACAAGGACACATCGACCTTCACAAGGACACATTGACCTTCACAAGGACACATTGACCTTCACAAGGACACACTGACCAGGACGGCGGTGGGTGGTCAGCCACCGTGACCCCATTTTCTGGCTTTGTCTTTCACCCAACCAGCAGTGGATTGATGAAAAGGGGGCTGTGAATTATTACTGGAAAATGGCGATTGCCTTAACTACAATTCGAAACTGCTTTTTTCGCGTTTAGTTTGTCGTCATTCCCCCCCCCCCCACCTCCGATGAGCACGGTTGGCTACGTACGGAGCGAAAAAAGTTCAACATCCGTACTTAAGACGTTCAACATACGCACTTAAGTACGTATGTTCAACGTATGTTGAACTTCTTAAGACGTTCAACATACGTACTTAAGACGTTCAACATCCGTACTTAAGTACGTATGTTCAACGTATGTTGAACTTCTTAAGACGTTCAACATACGTACTTAAGGCGTTCAACATACGCACTTAAGAAGTTCAACATACTTACTTGTCAAACTCTTTTCGAGTACTCTCTCGCACCGGCGCTTTAACGGCGATGTTTGACGACCAATAAACGTGCTTTAGTGTGTTTGGCAAGGCTGAGAACTTGACATTGATGGTTGCAGCAGCAGCATTAGCGGAGCGTTGGCCTACAGACGGTTGCACAGCTGCTGGTTTGCTTGCCATGTACAAGATTTAGCCCCCCACCACCCTCTCACAATCCCACTGTGGTCAATGTGTCAACGTCAGACAGCACTTCCCCAAAAAGCCAAACCTGCCGAGACGAGATAACGCTCCGGACGTAGCCACGCACTGCCTAACTATGCATGATATACACAGACAAAGACCCCCCCCCCGTATAGCCTGAACAGATTGTTGGGGCAAGTGCTGTTAGCGAGCACCTATGGAGGCCGGCACGGCACACGAGGGGGTGTGGGTGGTCAACAACACGCCCCGGCCACTTTCGTCTCCCCAGTGGCGATGTTTACTACACACCGCACTAGGTACTCATCTGAGGCCGAGTCGACCTAGGGGAGGCCCGGGACCGGTTCAAATAATCGTCACCGGCGTAGGCCGTGAGCGGGAATCGAACTCGGGTTCGCCGGGTTCGTAGTGCAGCGCGCTAACCACCACACTACCGCTCTCCACTACACTATGCATGATATATATACACACACACACACACGCGCGCGCGCGCTATTATACAACATTAACACACTGTCTGTCGCCCTCACCCCACAGCCCCTCCCCCTGTAACAGGAAAATTAAATATAAAACAATGATGCTTGGGGCGACAGTCCAGAGTCCTTCAGAACAGAGTACAAGATGAACAGCTCGACACGCACGCACGCACGCTGTCCTATCGTGTTCTGGAGCAAGGCGCCGTGAGCAGCGATGCGCCCGCGATCTTTCGACGCCAACCTTTCTTTGTTTAACGTCGTACACTCTTGTTGTTGTTGCGTTGTCAATGTCGCACGGAGCATATGACCATGGTCCCACGCTGGCGGGAGGATGTGTGGGGGGGGGGGGACACACACACACACAGACGACACCCCCTTTAACTGGCCCGGAGGCGAGCGATTGTCCCGTCCCTCTGAACGTCACCGCCGGCACTCTGTCGGGGTGACCTCTCGATTGGCACGGTTGGCTACGTACGGCGCGAAAGAAGTTCAACGTACGCGCGTGCACGGTTGGACCTGAAGATTCACGCGGCCAACGCAAGGTATATCTGTGTGTGTATATAGAGACACACGGGGTGCTTCAGAAAAATGTTAACACTTTTTTTATGGGACTATCGTTATTAAATGGGGAAAAAACGGATAATAACACTGTAACGTGAGAACAAATGTCATGTCAATAGCTTCAAAGAGTCTCCCCAACTTTGTTCGCCACCGTTGTCAACGCGTGGGCCTGGAATCTCCCCTCCGGGTGGTCTTCAGAGCCCCGAGGCAGCAGCACGTGTCACGTGGTGGCTATTGTTGCGACGTTCTCGGGAGTGTTAACAGTTTTCTGAAGCACCCTCCTGTATAATATCCTTCCTCCTAAACGGAGACGGATATCCATCCAGCGCCAAGCGCGCGACCTCTTGCGGCGGCAGCGTTCGCATACGAAGCAACCCGGTCCCCACCACATGCTGCCGTACACACCGGCGTCGCGAGCGATTCGTTTCAATCTTGATTTGAAGCTTCTGTGCCTGCAGCGATCCATACTCTCTGCTTCTTTCGGTAAAGTACTTGCTCATTTCTCCAGCCACCAACTCGTCCACGCACGCCACAAACCCTCCCCCCCGTCCTCGCTCCCCTGTGAACTCCGACAACCAAACTCCTTCCCCCCCACCACCCCCCCCCACCTTCCGTGCCTATATGAAGCCACGACAGATCCTCTTTTTTTATCCTCACCTGAAGACGGACGCTTGTGCTGCGACCGAAAACGTCGTGTTTTCTTTAAAAAAAAAACACTAATTATATCTACGTGACTTTACCGATAGAAGCAGAGAGAATGATTTGTTTGATCTCCGCGGATCACGTGGGGGGGCTGGAGGGGGGTGGTGGTGGTGGTGGCGGCCACGGGGAGGGCTGCCCCACTTCTCCGAGGGCTCCGCCGCACTCCGCATGGAACGTCGACCCGCGCGACCGGGGTGCGCAACTTGCCGCAGGAGTTTGCGAGACGGGGGTGGGTGGGTGGGTGGATAGGGGGCGGGGGTGACGCGTCCAAAATAATGAGGGAAAAAAAAAGAGCCGGATATCCGAGACGTTTCAACGCGGCCGTCAAGAAAAACGCTTGGCAGCTAAAATCGCCTCCCGCACCCCCACCCCCACCCCGCCCCCGATCCGTGGTGTGACGCAAACGGAAGCGTCGGAAACGTCACAATCACGACGACGACAAAAACAAGAATCTGACATCGTTTACAAACAAAATAAAATACGGCCGTGCTGTCCACAAAAGCAGCTCTCTCCCGCGGGATAGTCCACAAATACCGCTGCTCCTTCACGCACCCCCCCCCCACCCCCCCCCCCCACGGCTGCCCCTCTCCGCATTGGGGCTCAAAGTTGCTACGCGGGAACGGCGATCGACCCAACTAGCGGGCGTCTCAACGTCGCCACTTGAACGACGGAGTCAGAAAGCGTCGGTGGTGCCGCCGCCACCGCCTCCTTCCTTCTGCCTGATCCCCACACAAGAGGTTGAGGGGTCGACATCTGACCTTCGAGGACTGCCCTTGCAGCATCCCATCGTCTGGCATTAGGGTCTTGTTATAATAATGAACCCTTCCGCGCGCAACAAGGAGGTTTGAATGCGTACGTGAGTCGACGTGCAAGAGGGACACATTCTCGCTGGAGTGTACTCGCTCGCTCCTGGACAGAGGCAATGTTAGGGGTGACCCCAAAAAGCCACTGCTTTGCGAGTGGCAATAACACAGAGAGATGTACTACTCTAAACTCCCCTCTAGCCAACCGTTGTGACACAGCACACGTGATGGGCCAGGCACGCGTGATGGCCGGGCACGCGAACGTAAGACGTGCGGTAATTTTTTTTCCCCCGCCCCTGCCGAGTTACTTTTCCACGCACCCTCGGTTCACGAGCATAAACTTTGGTTTCTAGCGGCTTGGAGATGCTTATTTCAAAGTTGCGAAAGCCAAAAACGGTTTCGGCAACGCAGCGGGGCACGAAGGCAACGATGGCTCGCCCCCCGCGCGCGAGGCGATAAGGCAGAAAACACGGCGAGGGTGATGAACAATCTCCGCCGAGTTCTAAACCCCCCGCACCGTTCGTTTAACAACAACAAAAACAACAATACGATTGCAAAAAAAAAAAGCGGCAAGAGTTGAAACGCAACTGCGTCAAAAAACGACTCAACGGACGCCAGGTCAGGAGCGACGTAAATATTGTTGGCACCTTTATGCGAGAGAATATATAGCGGGTAAGTGCATTCGGCAAAAGGGGGCTTTGTAGGCTATTTGATTCGCTTTAGAGAGACGGCGAGTGACAGACGAGGGGAGGGAAGTACGTGGCAATATAAAGCACTATTAACAAATTGGCACGTTCTGTTTACGTGACAAAACTCACCAATTGGCTGCGTCGGAGGGTGGCGGGTTTAACGACGCATTTATATATTTACGCGATCTAATCCAGAAAAGAAAAAAAAAGAACCTCCGTAAAATTTCGAGCGGGAAAAAAATACCCAAACACGTTAAAAGGCTTGAAGTAGAGAGAATTCTCTTCACGTTAAAATGTTCACAAACAGTTTCGAGGGGCGACGAGAAATTGGATTTTCCAGCTGACGGTTGCCATCAAATTTGTGTTCACCGCCCGATTGTTTTTTTTGACATTTTGACGTGAACCGGAGAGATGGGCGCCCTTGCTCGGCGCGTGCTCCTTCGCGAGAGCGGCGCTCCCCGCGGGACGCTCGGCCGCAGGGCCCAAACGTCGCTCCCCCTGCGAGGGATGTCGCTGACCTTCTGCCCCTTTACACCACCAAAACGATTCCCCCCCCCCCCCCAACCCCCGCCCCCCCCACCGTGTCGCCGGCAACGACGGAGGCTGCGGCCGTGCCACGTGCGCGGACCGGCGTGCTTTCGTACTTGCTCGAACAAAAAGTTGTGGCCGAGCGGTACAGCGTCATCAACGGTCCCGCAAACTTAGAGAGAGAGAGGGAGAGCCGGCCGCTACACCTCAGGTGTGGTGCAATAACCCCGCGAAAAAAAAAAAACACACACACGACCGGCAAAAGCAAGAAAACCTGTTAAGCGCGGACGAACAAAAGTCGCGAAGGAACCCGCGTGAGTCAGTATCTGGAATCGGTAACAGATCCCACTTCGGAGCATGCGGGATCGCACGCGGGATCGGTTGGTATTAAAAAAAAAAAAAAAGGATGTTCACGGCAGCTCTGTAATGTTCTAACAAGCTAAAACCTCGTAACCGGGGCGAGAAATCGCTTGCCAATCTTGCCGAAACATTTACTGCTAAAGGGGCCAACTCAATTTTAGCCAACCAGAAGCCACCTAACCAAACCGATAGAAATTAAAAGCGGCCGCCGCCGGATTTGTATAACTCGCCAGCCAGCCGGCCGGCACGTGGCAAGCCGCAACGAGGCCATTCACAGCTCACGGCCACGCGAACCACACTCGCGCGACTAGCAAGCGGACACCCGGCCAGCCGGCAAACCTCCCACACACGAAGGCGCACACGGTGGTGTGATGTTAACTACCTCGCCCAGCGTGCAGGGGCATCGTGAGTTCGATCCTGCCCGTGCACGTTCTCCCCGTGGTCGCGCGGATTCTTCTCCGGGTCGTCCAGCTTTTCCGCCCGCATTTAGAATCAACGTGCAATTCCAGAGGATTTGGCTGCTATACATTTCCATGCGACGATAAGCCACTTCCGTTGGGCCGTCTTTGGTGGCAAGCCAGGTCGCTTCCGCAAAAGAAGCCACTACATAGCTCATAATCGTACTTTTTAGTTTACACACACACACACAACTAGCCGAGGCGCACCGCTGGCCAAATCAGTTCAGCCGGGCAGGAGGCGGGCGGGCGGGCGGGCGGGCGGTCGTTCACGACGAGTCGGTGCACGGTGACGGTGGCGGAGGGCACAGGTGGAAGTAGCTGCGCTCGGTGGACGGCGACGGGGGGCAGCTGTCCTCTGCCGACAGGTACTGGCTCCAGGGCGTGGGCGGCGGCGCGAACGGCTCCGAGTCGTACGCCGCCGCCGCCGCCGCCGCCGCCGCCGCCGCGGCAGCGGCGGCGTCGCCGCAGTAGCGAGGCGTCGCCGCCGCCGCCGTCGGCGGCCCGGGTAGAGCGACGGGCGGCGGGGGCGGCGCGCAGACGACGCCGCCCACGCCGCCCACGCCGCTCCCGGAGGCGGCGTGGGCGGCGTGGGCGGCGTGCCGGGGCCCGGGGCGCCAGCCGCGGGCGGGGCCGAGCGGCACGACGGGGCAGTCGCTGTCGCACACGTCCGTGCTGTACGGCGTGGTCGGGGGGGCCACGGCGTGCGGCTTCTGATGCCTGGCGTGCGAAGGCGTGCGTGGAGCGGTGTGTGTGTGGTGTGTGTGGTGTGTGTGGTGTGTGTGTGTGTGGTGTGTGAGTGTGTGGGTGTGCGTGGAGTGGTGTGTGTGTGGTGTGTGTGGGTGTGTGTGTGGTGTGTGTGGGCGTGCGTGGAGCGGTGTGTGGCGTGTGTGTGGTGTGTGGATGTGTGGGTGTGTGGTGTGTGGGTGTGTGGTGTGTGAGTGTGTGGGTGTGCGTGGAGCGGTGTGTGTGTGGTGTGTGTGGTGTGTGGGTGTGTGTGTGTGTGGTGTGTGTGGTGTGTGTGTGTGGTGTGTGTGGGTGTGTGGGCGTGGAGCGGTGTGTGTGTGGTGTGTGTGGTGTGTGTGTGTGGGTGGTGTGTGTGGTGTGTGTGTGGTGTGTGTGTGTGGGCGTGGAGCGGTGTGTGTGTGGTGTGTGTGGTGTGTGTGTGGTGTGTGGGTGTGTGGCGTGTGTGTGTGGTGTGTGTGTAGTGTGTAGGTGTGTGGGTGTGTGGGTGTGTGTGTGTGTGGGTGGAGCGGTGTGTGTGTGGTGTGTGTGGTGTGTGTGGTGTGTGTGTGGTGTGTGTGGTGTGTGTGGTGTGTGTGTGGTGTGTGTGGTGTGTGTGGTGTGTGTGTGGTGTGTGGGTGTGTGTGTGTGGCGTGTGTGTGTGGTGTGTGTGGTGTGTGTGTGTGTGCGTGGAGCGGTGTGGGCGTGCGTGCGTGCAGTGTGTGTGATTGTGAGCACGGCGAGTGCGTGTATTGCACGACGGTGGGTGGCAGTGGTGCGTAAAAGAAAGGAGGTGGGGGACGGCCACAGGAACAGAATTCACACACCAGGATCATTTGTGCAACACAGCGTCCAAAACCAAACGTGCCGTGACACACGACAGGTGGTGAAAACGTGACCGAAATCGCCGTCGCAGCTGGACACAGCACGTTCAAGTTCACCGTGGAAGTCCAGTTCACCATGTGCAGGGGTTGGCAACCTGCGGCTTCGGAGCCACATGCGGCGCTCTTATGGCTTTAATGGGGGGGAGGTCTGGTGGGGTGGGTGGGGGCGGGCCACGTTGCTCCTGTGTGTATTCCCTATTGGGCAATTTACCTGTGTTGTATATATATATTACATTTTTTGGGAGGACTGTTTTTGATTGGCCAATACCAGTTGACACTGTCCGTTTGTTTTCGCCGTGGGACGAAACCGCATGACACGGAGGAGGGGGTAAACGGAACGTCCGATCCCCCAACCTCCGATTAGCACGGTTTGCCTACGCAAGTAGGCACAGCCGCAACGCAGAACGAGGGGGCGAGGACACGTACGAACCCCGCTCTCGCGCAAAGGGCACCCGGGGGGTCGGGAATCGAACCCAGGCGCTTCCTGCCGCTGCCCCGAAAGCCAACCCACCAACCCACGCGACACTTTGGCAGAAGGGCGCAACAACGACAGCCTTGACGAGGGTGAAGGCAGTGGGGTGGGGGGGTGGGGGGAGACAGCCTACCTGTAGGCCCTGTACGTGGATGGGGTGCTGCTGTAGTTGGGGATCCCGGTGTAGCGAGACCGGTCCGTGGCAGGCGAGGGTGGAGGGTTGAGATTCTGCAACAGAAGACAAAGACAAAGTTCCCGCCCATCCTCCCCCCCCCCACCCCCCGGTATAGCCATTAACAGACTGTTGGGTCAAGTTGATGTTAATGAGCGCCTATCAAGGCTGGCAGGACATGGGTTCGATTCCGACCTTGACACCTGCTGTATATTTGGTGTTTGCGCGTCTCTCTCTCTCTCTCCGGGTCCTCCGTTTTTTCCCCCCTCGAGATTTAGCATCGACAAGCGTTTAGAACAATCGGCCAACACTGATTTCCACGTAACGACAAGCCGTGTCGTCAAGCTATCAATTGTGGCCAAGTCGCTTCTGAAAAAATACAGAGCTATATATATATAGCTCGCTGGGCCTTTACTTGGTAGGTAAAATAAGAAATAATCCAGTTAGAATCTTCCAGCACTGGGCCCCGCAGGGATCACAACCGGCGATAACGAGCACCGATTCCTCAACGGCCATTCGAGACAGCGGCTAGAGAATCTTCCAGCACTGGGCCCCGCAAGGATCACAACCGGCGATAACGAGCACCGATTCCCTCAACGGCCCATTCGAGACAGCGGCTGGAGAATCTTCCAGCACTGGGCCCCGCAGGGATCACAACCGGCGATAACGAGCACCGATTCCCTCAACGGCCCATTCGAGACAGCGGCTGGAGAATCGCCACCACTGGAGCGCGCGGCCGTTGGGATTTCCCTCCCGCCGCCGCCCAGGGCTTTTACCGGCGGGAAGAACGTGCCCTTGCTGGAGGAGCTGCTGGAGGACGCGCCGGTGATGTGCGCGCGGTCGTAGGGTGGCGCCCCGTTACTGCCGCCGCCGCCCACCCCCATCAGGCTGTCGAAGCTCATCAAGGACTTTCCACGCGAGCCACCTGAGGGCGGGGGGGGGGGGGGGGGAAGCCGAAGGGGGTCATGGCGTTTATAAAACAAAAAAAAATCGGCCGGCCGGCTGGCCGGTCGGCACTGTCGCTGCGTGAAAACTGCACACAAAAAAAATATATACAAGCGAGTTAGGTTCCAGAGGTCTGTTCGTAAGTCAATTTGTTCGTAAGTAAATTTGTTCGTAAGTCAAATTTTACTCTAGTCGTTTCCAAACACGTTGAACCGCATGTACACTAAACACGGGGAATGGCTTTAAAAGTTGGATAATCTCCTGTAGATGCCACTGGTTCTTCACGTTCTGCAGATGCCACTGGTTCTTCACATTCTGCAGATGTAGATGCCACTGGTTCTTCACGTTCTGCAAATGTAGATGCCACTGGTTCTTCACGTTCTGCAAATGTAGATGCCACTGGTTCTTCACGTTCTGCAGATGCAGATGCCAATGGTTATTCACGTTCTGCAGATGTAGATGCCAATGGTTCTTCACATTCTGCAGATGTAGATGCCACTGGTTCTTCACGTTCTGAAATGTAGATGCACTGGTTCTTCACGTTCTGCAGATGTAGATGCCACTGGTTCTTCACGTTCTGCAAATGTAGATGCCACTGGTTCTTCACGTTCTGCAAATGTAGATGCCACTGGTTCTTCACGTTCTGCAGATGCCAATGGTTATTCACGTTCTGCAGATGTAGATGCCAATGGTTCTTCACATTCTGCAGATGTAGATGCCACTGGTTCTTCACGTTCTGAAAATGTAGATGCCACTGGTTCTTCACGTTCTGCAGATGTAGATGCCACTGGTTCTTCACGTTCTGCAGATGTAGATGACACTGGTTCTTCACGTTCTGCAAATGTAGATGCCACTGGTTCTTCACGTTCTGCAGATGCAGATGCCCATGGTTCTTCACGTTCTGCAAATGTAGATGCCACTGGTTCTTCACGTTCGGCAGATGTAGATGCCACTGGTTCTTCACGTTCTGGAGATGTAGATGCCACTGGTTCTTCACGTTCTGCAGATGTAGATGCCACTGGTTATTCACGTTCTGGAGATGTAGATGCCACTGGTTCTTCACGTTCTGCAGATGTAGATGCCACTGGTTCTTCACGTTCTGCAGATGTAGATGACACTGGTTCTTCACGTTCTGCAAATGTAGATGCCACTGGTTCTTCACGTTCTGCAGATGCAGATGCCCCATGGTTCTTCACGTTCTGCAAATGTAGATGCCACTGGTTCTTCACGTTCGGCAGATGTAGATGCCACTGGTTCTTCACGTTCTGGAGATGTAGATGCCACTGGTTCTTCACGTTCTGCAGATGTAGATGCCACTGGTTATTCACGTTCTGGAGATGTAGATGCCACTGGTTCTTCACGTTCTGCAGATGTAGATGCCACTGGTTCTTCACGTTCTGCAGATGTAGATGCCACTGTTTCTTCACGTTCTGTAGATGTAGATGCCACTGGTTCTTCACGTTCTGCAGATGTAGATGCCACTGGTTATTCACGTTCTGGAGATGTAGATGCCACTGGTTCTTCACGTTCTGCAGATGTAGATGTCACTGGTTCGTCACGTTCTGCAGATGTAGATGCCACTGGTTCTTCACGTTCTGTAGATGCCACTGGTTCTTCACGTTCTGCAGATGTAGATGCCACTGGTTCTTCACGTTCTGCAGATGTAGATGCCACTGGTTCTTCACGTTCTGTAGATGCCACTGGTTCTTCACGTTCTGCAGATGTAGATGCCAATGGTTCTTCACATTCTGCAGATGTAGATGCCACTGGTTCTTCACGTTCTGAAAATGTAGATGCCACTGGTTCTTCACGTTCTGCAGATGTAGATGCCACTGGTTCTTCACGTTCTGCAGATGTAGATGACACTGGTTCTTCACGTTCTGCAAATGTAGATGCCACTGGTTCTTCACGTTCTGCAGATGCAGATGCCCATGGTTCTTCACGTTCTGCAAATGTAGATGCCACTGGTTCTTCACGTTCGGCAGATGTAGATGCCACTGGTTCTTCACGTTCTGGAGATGTAGATGCCACTGGTTCTTCACGTTCTGCAGATGTAGATGCCACTGGTTATTCACGTTCTGGAGATGTAGATGCCACTGGTTCTTCACGTTCTGCAGATGTAGATGCCACTGGTTCTTCACGTTCTGCAGATGTAGATGACACTGGTTCTTCACGTTCTGCAAATGTAGATGCCACTGGTTCTTCACGTTCTGCAGATGCAGATGCCCATGGTTCTTCACGTTCTGCAAATGTAGATGCCACTGGTTCTTCACGTTCGGCAGATGTAGATGCCACTGGTTCTTCACGTTCTGGAGATGTAGATGCCACTGGTTTCTTAACGTTCTGCAGATGTAGATGCCACTGGTTATTCACGTTCTGGAGATGTAGATGCCACTGGTTCTTCACGTTCTGCAGATGTAGATGCCACTGGTTCTTCACGTTCTGCAGATGTAGATGCCACTGTTTCTTCACGTTCTGTAGATGTAGATGCCACTGGTTCTTCACGTTCTGCAGATGTAGATGCCACTGGTTATTCACGTTCTGGAGATGTAGATGCCACTGGTTCTTCACGTTCTGCAGATGTAGATGTCACTGGTTCGTCACGTTCTGCAGATGTAGATGCCACTGGTTCTTCACGTTCTGTAGATGCCACTGGTTCTTCACGTTCTGCAGATGTAGATGCCACTGGTTCTTCACGTTCTGCAGATGTAGATGCCACTGGTTCTTCACGTTCTGTAGATGCCACTGGTTCTTCACGTTCTGCAGATGTAGATGGCACTGGTTCTTCACGTTCTGCAGATGTAGATGCCACCACCGCCATCTATTGCACGGCGGTTGAACTTACGACTCTCGGTACGAACAGGCAACTGGACATACGGGACGAGGTTTGTTCGTATCTCTGAAAGTTTGTAAGTCAAATGTTCGTAAGTCGAGGAGCCCGTATACAAGGACCTGTTTCGTTTCCACTTTTTGTGTTTAATTTGCTGCCGTTCCCCGTCCCCCGCACCTCCGATTAACGCGGTTGGCTAAGTTACTACGGTGCAAAAGAGGTTCAACATATTGTACATACGTTACGGTACGCCGGTTCACGTAAAGCAATGGGTGTGCCACGAGGTGTTTTAATCTATCGAGAAGAAGGGGCTCCCCCCCCCACCCCCACCTGCCCCCACCACTGAACGAAATAAGATCACTGACAAAAAAGAAACACGCAATGCAGTAAGAATCCCTGGCGAGCCAGGGTCTGGCTAGCCAGGCCTTTTACTGCATGGCTAAATGTCACAATTGAAGTGTGTTTTTACTGCCGTGCAATTGATATTACCATTTATCCGGGCGTGTGGGATAGCTTAATGGGAAAAAAACCTCAAAGGCGCGTTCGTGGAAGTTCGTGGGAGTTCGTGAGAGTTCGTGGGAGTTCGTGGGAGTTCGTGGGAGTTCGTGGGAACTCGTGGGAGTTCGTGGGAGTTCGTGGGAGTTCGTGGGAGTTCGTGGGAGTTCGTGGGAGTTCGTGGGAACTCGTAGCCCGGCAAGCGGGCCGCAAAGCCCGTGAGGGAGCGAGCGAGCGAGCCGGGCCGACTCACCCATGTGGCAACCGCCGTGAGCGCCCGAGCGGGGCATGAAGGCCAGCGGGGTGTGGACGGGCAACCCCCCTCCCGCGCCGCCCCCAAAGCCACCCGCGTGGCCCCCCGGGCCCAGGTCGGCGCCGACGATGACCCCGGCGGTGCCGCCGCCGCCGCCGCCGCCGCCGCCGCCGACGCCGCCGACGACGACGCCGCCGCCGCCGCGCCGCCGCCGCCGCCGCCCGCGCAGGCACAGCAGGTGCTGGCACACGAAGCAGGCGCCGGCAACCATGACGAGAGCGAGGAACACCACGCCCACCACCGAGCTTATGGTGTAGCCGGCCGGCACGTGGCTGGACGGCGGCAGCGGAGTGAGCGCTGAAAGAAAGCGACACGGGTGTCACGCTCGCACGCGGACGGCCGGCCAAGCGGTGGCCTGCAAGCGCTGCCGAACTGTCCGTCGCCCGACGATCAAGGGAGGCAGGGGAAAAAGATGGCTCGCGCGCTCGCTCCGTTTGTGGCAGGCAGCCCATCTCGCTAGCAGGGGGCAAGGCTAGGGGTGTGGTTTGCGTCCCTGAGACTGCATGCGAGAATGCCTGCAAAGAAGCCCCCCCCGCCCCCCCCGCCCCCCCGTCAACCTTCCCAGCGATTTGCTGTCGCACCCCAAACCGCGGCCGCCGACCCCGCCACCGAACTCACGGCAGGCGTCTTCGTCGGAGGCGTCCGGGCAGTCGGCGGCGCCGTCGCAGCGTTGCCGTCGCAGCAGGCACTGCCCGCTGCCGCACTGGAACATGTCCCCTGGGCACTCTTGCCGCCACAAACAAGCACAGCCCACAGCGACAACGTCGACCGTCTTTCGCCAGTAAGCGGCGGCGACTTCACCGCGGCGCTCGCACGCCAACGCAGCGGCCACGGCACATCGCCCGCATGTGGAAGGACAATTGAAACTCGGCTCACGATACGACGCACTTGTTATTTTACCAAGCAGGGCCCCCCTTAAATGCTGACCAAGCGGACTACTCCGCTCAGCGACGACCCGGGACGCCGCGGAATGGCTTACCAAATAAAAGGGGGCACTCAATTACTGGCTTCTTTTTTTTTTTACTTTTACTCCGCGCAGAAAGGAGAAGCGTAGCGTTGGCCGCACCAACCCCCTCTCGCGTTTCCCGTGGCAGCTTTCGTAGGTTCTCGCCGTCATCACTTCTCATCGTGCGCGTCCCGTCACCCATCGCCGGCACGAGGTGAAGGGGGTGCCATCCATACATACCACCCCCTAACCCCTCCCCTTTTGACTTCGGTCGTCATCCCGGCAGCGGCGGCGGCGGCTTTTGGCCAAATCATCGACGAGAGACGACGGTCAACGCAATCGTCATCGCGCGCCTTCGGATGCGCTCCCGTGGCCGCCTGGAACGCTCTTCCTTCCGATATTGGGAGGTTCACTTGGGAGCTGCACACTTTAAAATTGTCTAGATTGACAAAACTCAATTCTTTGAAAACCGCTTTGTGCGTTTAGTTTGTCGTCCTTCCCCCGCGCGCACCTCCGATTGGCACGGTTGGCTACGTACGGTGATGCGAAAGAAGCTCAACGCGCGTACGGGCGGCTGTCCGGCGAAGGAGCACACGGGATTGGCCAAGCTTCCGCGAGGGGCACAAAGCGCAGTGGGCGCGGGACTTAACCGTGTAGGACTACGGTGCCCTTTGTTGCGCTGCCCTCTGCTGCCCTCTGCTGCCCTCTGCTGCCCTCTGCTGCCCTCTGCTGCCCTCTGCTGCCCTCTGCTGCCCTCTGCTGCCCTCTGCTGCCCTCTGCTGCCCTCTGCTGCCCTCTGCTGCCCTCTGCTGCCCACTGCACACGTGTTCAGTACACAGCGGGTCACTCAACCCGCCACCGTCCAGGCTCAACCCCGACAACGGTGGCGAAAGGAGTTCAACATCCACACACGCACTGGTGGGGCCAGTGGGGGGGGGGGGGGCACGTGCCCCCCCCCCCCCCCTCCCAATGATCTGATCAAAATCCCTCATTTCCATCGGATCATTGGAGTTTATTGGTAAAAAAAAAATCGGCATTTTGCGACCCCCGCTGCCACTGTGTAGCATATTATTACGTGCCAGGGACTCTATGAGATGATAGGACAATAGTCTGAGTCCACAATTGGCAATAAGTAACGGCAGAGCGGTTCTAAGTGACCACAGAATTGAGCGCAGCTGCGTCTACAGAGTCCACGACTTGCCTGAAGGCATCGACACCTCCAGCGAGCGCGGTGCCGATCACACCACGCGGTTCGAACTCGCCACCTCGACATCGATCACACCACGCGGTTCGACATCGATCACACCACGCGGTTCGAACTCGCCACCTCGCCATCGATCACACCACGCGGTTCGAACTCGCCACCTCGACATCGATCACACCACGCGGTTCGAACTCGCCACCTCGCCATCGATCACACCACGCGGTTCGAACTCGCCACCTCGACATCGATCACACCACGCGGTTCGAACTCGCCACCTCGACATCGATCACACCACGCGGTTCGAACTCGCCACCTCGCCATCGATCACACCACGCGGTTCGAATTCGACCCTCGATCGATGGCTGTGCCATCGCCGCACACGCCTCGAGTAACAAGCAAGGGACAAGTCCTTACTTACTAACAACTCCTTACTTATTACTAACAACTCCTTACTTGTTGACAACTCATTACTTACTAACAACTCCTTACTTATTACTAACAACTCCTTCCTAACAACTCCTTACTTATTACTAACAACTCCTTCATAACAATTCCTTACTTATTACTAACTCCTTCCTAACAACTCCTTACTTATTACTAACAACTCATTACTTATTACTAACAACTCATTACTTATTACTAACAACTCATTACTTATTACTAACAACTCCTTACTTACTAACAACTCCTTACTTATTACTAACAACTCATTACTTATTACTAACAACTCCTTACTTACTAACAACTCCATACTTACTAACAACTCCATACTTACTAACAACTCCATACTTACTAACAACTCCATACTTACTAACAACTCCATCATTTTTCATTGCTGGAGGGGTTGCCGCCGCCCCTTACCTGAAAATCCTGGCTCCGCCATTGCTCACACGTACTGCTCACACGTACTGCACACACGTGCTGCACACACGTGCTACACACGTACTACACACACGTGCTGCACACACGTGCTGCACACACGTGCTACACACGTGCTACACACGTACTACACACACGTACTGCACACACGTACTGCACACACGTGCTGCACACACGTGCTACACACGTGCTACACACGTACTACACACGTACTACACACACGTGCTGCACACACGTGCTACACACACGTACTACACACACGTACTACACACACGTGCTGCACACACGTGCTACACACACGTACTGCACACACGTACTGCACACACGTACTGCACACACGTACTGCACACACGTACTGCACACACGTACTGCACACACGTACTGCACACACGTACTGCACACACGTGCTACACACACGTGCTGCACACACGTACTACACACACGTACTGCACACACGTACTGCACACACGTACTACACACACGTACTACACACACGTACTACACACACGTACTGCACACACGTACTGCACACACGTACTACACACACGTACTGCACACACGTGCTACACACACGTGCTACACACACGTACTGCACACACGTGCTGCACACACGTACTACACACACGTACTACACACACGTACTGCACACACGTACTACACACACGTACTACACACACGTACTACACACACGTACTGCACACACGTACTGCACACACGTACTACACACACGTACTACACACACGTACTACACACACATACTACACACACGTGCAACACACACGTGCTACACACACGTGCTACACACACGTACTGCACACACGTGCTGCACACACGTGCTGCACACACGTGCTACACACACGTGCTACACACACGTGCTACACACACGTACTACACACACGTACTGCACACACGTACTACACACACGTACTACACACACGTACTGCACACACGTACTACACACACGTACTACACACACGTGCTGCACACACGTGCTACACACACGTGCTACACACACGTACTACACACACGTGCTACACACACGTACTGCACACACGTGCAACACACACGTACTGCACACACGTGCTGCACACACGTGCTGCACACACGTGCTACACACACGTGCTACACACACGTACTGCACACACGTACTACACACACACGTACTACACACACGTACTACACACACGTGCTACCACACCGTGCAACACACACGTACTACACACACACGTACTACACACACGTACTACACACACGTGCTGCACACACGTGCTACACACACGTACTGCACACACGTACTGCACACACGTACTACACACACGTACTGCACACACGTGCTGCACACACGTACTGCACACACGTACTACACACACGTACTGCACACACGTGCTACACACACGTGCTACACACACGTACTGCACACACGTGCTGCACACACGTACTACACACACGTACTACACACACGTACTGCACACACGTGCTGCACACACGTACTGCACACACGTACTACACACACGTACTACACACACGTACTACACACACGTACTGCACACACGTACTGCACACACGTACTACACACACGTACTACACACACGTACTACACACACATACTACACACACGTGCAACACACACGTGCTACACACACGTGCTACACACACGTACTGCACACACGTGCTGCACACACGTGCTGCACACACGTGCTACACACACGTGCTACACACACGTACTGCACACACGTACTACACACACGTACTGCACACACGTACTGCACACACGTGCTACACACACGTACTACACACACGTACTGCACACACGTACTACACACACGTACTGCACACACGTACTGCACACACGTACTACACACACGTGCTGCACACACGTACTACACACACGTGCTACACACACGTGCTACACACACGTACTACACACACGTACTGCACACACGTACTACACACACGTGCTACACACACGTACTGCACACACGTACTACACACACGTGCTACACACACGTACTACACACACGTGCTACACACACGTACTGCACACACGTACTACACACACACGTACTACACACACGTACTACACACACGTGCTACACACACGTGCAACACACACGTACTACACACACACGTACTACACACACGTACTACACACACGTGCTGCACACACGTGCTACACACACGTACTGCACACACGTACTGCACACACGTACTGCACACACGTACTGCACACACGTGCTACACACACGTACTACACACACGTGCTACACACACGTACTACACACACGTACTACACACACACGTACTACACACACGTACTACACACACGTGCTACACACACGTGCAACACACACGTACTACACACACACGTACTACACACACGTACTACACACACGTGCTGCACACACGTGCTACACACACGTACTGCACACACGTACTGCACACACGTACTGCACACACGTACTGCACACACGTACTGCACACACGTGCTACACACACGTACTACACACACGTGCTACACACACGTACTACACACACGTACTACACACACGTACTGCACACACGTACTACACACACACGTACTACACACACGTACTACACACACGTACTACACACACGTACTACACACACGTGCTACACACACGTGCTACACACACGTACTACACACACACGTGCTACACACACGTGCTACACACACGTGCTACACACACGTGCTACACACACGTACTACACACACACGTGCTACACACACGTACTACACACACGTGCTACACACACGCGCTACACACACGTGCTACACACACGCGCTACACACACGTACTACACACACGTACTACACACGCGTACTACACACACGTGCTACACACACGTACTACACACACGTACTACACACACGTACTACACACACGTACTACACACACGTACTACACACACGTACTACACACACGTACTACACACACGTACTACACACACGTGCTACACACACGTGCTACACACACGTGCTACACACATGTACTACACACACATACTACACACACACGTACTACACACACGTACTACACACACACGTACTACACACACGAACTACACACACACGTACTACACACACGTACTACACACACGTACTACACACACGTACTACACACACGTGCTACACACACGTGCTACACACACGTGCTACACACACGTACTGCACACACACGTGCTACACACACGTACTACACACACGTACTACACACACACGTGCTACACGTGCTACACACACTATATGGCGGCGGGCGGGGCGGGCGGGGGGTGGGGTGGGGGGTAGGTGAGGGGAGGGGCCCGTTACCGTAGCAACTGCTCTCGTCGGACATGTCCTGGCAGTCCGCGTCGCCGTTGCAGTGCAGCGCCGCGTCCACGCACTGCCCGCTGCGGCACTGGAACTGGGCGTCGGAGCACAGCGGGCAGTCGCGCTCGTCGCTCTGGTCGTCGCACTCGGCGTAGCCGTCGCAGCGCCACGCCAGAGGGATGCAGTCGATCTCGCCCGTCCAGCACGCAAACTGCTCCGCACTGCACGTCGGGTGCTCTGCGTGGGCGACGTGCGGGGGGGGGGGCGGGGGGGGGGGGGGGCGGGGGGGGCGGGGAGAGGGGGGGGGCTCATTTGTTCGGCGGCGGAGAGCGGTGGGTGCAGCGGCCGGTCCTCTGCGTGCACCGCTACATCTATGTACACACGCACACGTGTATGTAGATGTAGCGGTGCTCTGCGTGCACCGCTACATCTATGTACACGCACACGTGTATGTAGATGTAGCGGTGCTCTGCGTGCACCGCTACATCTATGTACACACGCACACGTGTACATAGATGTAGCGGTGCTCTGCGTGCACCGCTACATCTATATACACACGCACACGTGTACGTAGATGTAGCGGTGCTCTGCGTGCACCGCTACATCTATATACACACACACACGTGTATATAGATGTAGCGGTGCTCTGCGTGCACCGCTACATCTATGTACACACGCACACGTGTATGTAGATGTAGCGGTGCTCTGCGTGCACCGCTACATCTATGTACACACGCACACGTGTATGTAGATGTAGCGGTGCTCTGCGTGCACCGCTACATCTATGTACACACGCACACGTGTATGTAGATGTAGCGGTGCTCTGCGTGCACCGCTACATCTATGTACACACGCACACGTGTACATAGATGTAGCGGTGCTCTGCGTGCACCGCTACATCTATGTACACACGCACACGTGTATATAGATGTAGCGGTGCTCTGCGTGCACCGCTACATCTATGTACACACGCACACGTGTATATAGATGTAGCGGTGCTCTGCGTGCACCGCTACATCTATGTACACACGCACACGTGTATGTAGATGTAGCGGTGCTCTGCGTGCACCGCTACATCTATGTACACACGCACACGTGTATATAGATGTAGCGGTGCTCTACGTGCACCGCTACATCTATGTACACGCACACGTGTATGTAGATGTAGCGGTGCTCTGCGTGCACCGCTACATCTATATACACACGCGCGTGTATCGAATACGGGCACCTCCGATTAGAACGGTTGGCCACGTGCGCTTCGAAAGTGGCGCGGCAGAGGCCTTGCTGTGGGGCGAGGGGCACGACGCGGGACGCAGCAGAGAGAAGACTCTCGGGCGTGGCTGGGGCACGTGCCGGGAAGCCGGGTCCATAAGCGATAGCTGCCCTACGGTGGGGGGCACCGCGAGAAGGAGAGAGACCCCCCCCCACCGCGGGGCAGGCCGAGGGACCACCTGGTGGCGGCACCGTTCAAGACCGGCGAAAGCCCTTGGGGCCTGTCTTGGGGGTGAAGCGGAGGAAAGCTGCCAAAGACCGCGCGGCACGGCGTGGCCTTGTCGCGGCCTAATGCTCCACGCGCGTTGCCGTATTTGCTCGATCTAACCGAGAAGAGGAAGAGGAGGAAGAAGAGGAAGAAGAGGAAGAAGAGGAAGACGAGGAAGACGAGGAAGACGAGGAAGAAGAGGAAGAAGAGGAAGAGGAGGAAGAGGAGGAGGAGGAGGAGGAAGAGGAGGAAGAGGAGGAAGAGGAGGAGGAAGAGGAGGAAGAGGAGGAAGAGGAGGAAGAGGAGGAAGAGGAAGAAGAACCGAACCGTCGTCATCATTGCGTGTGGAACTTTGCGTTCCATCGCGCGCGCGAGCGAGAGCGGCATTCCTCACCCCCACACGTGAGCTCGTTCTGCAGCAGCACGAGGTGAACGGGGCAGGAGCACCGCGTGGTGCCGTCCCCCTTGACGATGCAGATGTGGGAGCAGCCGCCGTTGTCCCCGAAGCACGGGTGGCTCCCTGCGGTCCGAGCCACGGGGTGGGTGCAGGGGGACGGGGGGGCCGGGGGGGACAGGCGGGGGAGAGGGTGGCACAACGGGTGAGCGAAGAGCAACAGAGACGCGGCGAGCGGGAGACGGAGGAGCACCAAGCCACGCGACGGGGCGTCGAGTTTGGTCCGTAAAATCGACCGTCACCCTGCTGGTGTAACTTTGGGGAGTTTTTTTGTTGTTGTTGCTTTTGTCATTTTGGTCGCACAGGGTCACGCGGTTGAGCTGGGATGAATCTGTGAGGAGGGCGAACTGGCGGAGGGAACGCCGGCGAATGGCCGCCAAACGTGTGACCTCTTGCGATGATGGCATTCGCGTAAGCTGCCCTTGCCGCTGCTGTACACCGGCGTCTCGAGCGAACTTGTTTGATCCACGGATCACGGGGGGGGGGGGGGTGTTGGTGGGGGGGGGGGGGGGGGTGGTGTCACTCACGGTAATGGGCGAGGGGCATCTCGTGAGCGGTCAGCACGTCAGTGAGGTAGGGCATGCGCCCCTGCACCTTGGTGCGACCTCCGCCGCCCTCCTTGGCCACGCGCTCCATCAGCTGCTGCTGCCGGTCGATCCAGTAGAGGTGAGCGCCGAACACGGCGAGCCCCACGGGCTGCAGGATGTTCGACTCCTCCAGCACGATGCGGTTGGCCCCTGCGCCGGTCGGCGATGGCGGTGGCAGCAGCAGCAGCAGCAGTGGCAGCAGCAGCAGCAGCAGCGGCGGTGTCAGAGCAAGGGGCGGACGCACGCGCACACAAAGCTCAAAGGTCTCCCCCCCCCCAACCCGTGCAGCCTTAACAGACTGTTGGGGCAAGTGCTGCTAAGCGAGCAGCGGCTACGAAGGCCGGCACGGGCACACGAAGGGGGCGGGCGGGCGGGGCCGGCCCCCCCCCCCTCCCGCACCCCCCCAGGCCCCCTTCCACCCCACCAACAGACGATCCAATGAATTATCACGAGTGGAGGATGCGATCAGACCTCAACAACCCATGTTTTTCTCTCTCTCTATCTCTCTCGTCAGTTTGTACGGTTTCGTCCGCTCAACCAGCCTTAACGTAACAGTTCAACATCGAGCTGCGGGACCACTCGCACAAACGACGTGTACTCAAACCTCAACAAACAATTCAACGCGGTTCGTAAGAATCGATTCGGCGTCGTCAGTTTGGCAACGTCACCCGGGGCGTGGAGAGAGAGGTGGGGGGGTGGGGGGCGGGGGGTTTCTCAACTCTCCTGACGCTAAGAGATATCTGCAAGACCTCTTGATTTCACAAACAAGGGGGGAAAATCCTGGCGTGCCACGTGGCCACCCGCCGCGGCTAGGGTCGCAACAACGCCGTCGCCAGGAATAACATCAAAGCCCGCGCATCCTTTCCCACGCCCCCCGGCGACGACCCGGCACAGCAACTCGCGCTCGCCGCGGTCCCAAGTTTATTTTGATTCGTCACACTGCCCATGGTCCTCTTTGTCCACTTGCCCGGCTGCTTTACACGGAGACATCCGTGGTGCGCGAGAACCACCGCAGCGACAAAACAAAATCGTCGATGGTGCAGAGGACCGAGTAGTACGGGACGCTTCAGAAATATTGTGCGCACCAAACTTATTATTTGTTATTTTCCTTCCCACGTAAGGCCCACTGAGCTATGGAGCTCCAGTGGCTTCCTGATAGCCGTCCCCTCCACGTGAAGTGAAAAAAAAAACACCACACACATCCGTGACGCCCGTCCGTGCGGACATTTCACTGGCGTCCGCCTTTTTTCATTCCCCGTGGGTTTACCTCTGGGGACTCCGGTTTTGCGATGATACCTCGCTTCAAAGCGTTTCAAGTGTGCGCGCGCGCGCCAGTTGTGTTTTTATCCCACCGATTCCTTCCGGTTGACGTTCATTCTCCGGGCAGGATATTTTGAGAAATGTTCCCAATCCTCCCCTGTTCTGTTCTGGATGGAGACGAGTCCGATCCTCGACGTACAAATGCGGTCACGGCCTCGTTACCGGTGCCTTTTAACGATGCTGCCACGCAGAACGCGTGTTGATCTTAACACGAGCTCTCCGGCAGACGAACGCGGGATGGTTAGTTGGTTAGTTAGTTGTGCCTGCTGGTATCAAGGAGGTCGTGGGTTCGACCTCGACGCCCGTTGTATATTTAGAGGTTGCACGCTCTCCCCGCGGTCGCGTGGATTTTTCTCCGGGTCCTCGGGTTTTGTCCCTCCGCAATTTGGAATCGACATCGCGCGTCTGGAGCATTTGGCCGCTATCAAATTTCCACACGACGACGAAAAAAAGCCGTCACTTTCGTCGAGCCATCATTTGTGATCGCCAGGTCGCTACTGAGAAAGGGCCACTATGCACAGCGCCTCAGCGGGGGGGTCTCGGGGGGGGGGGGGGGGGGGGGGGGTGGGGTCAAACGCACCGTTGAGGTCGCTGCACTCGATGCGCTTGAGCTCGGCGTCGGCCCAGTAAAGGCGCCCGGGCGCGTTGTCCACCGCCAGGGCGGAGGGGCGACTCAGGCCGCTGGTGAAGAGCACCTCCCGCTCCGTGCCGTCCAGGGAGGCTCGCTCGATACGTGGAGCCCGGTCCTGGAGGTTCGTGATGTACATGTACCTGTGAAGGCCAACGGGTTCACCAATCCGGTAAAGTCGTTGCCACCGCCGCAATTCTGAGATCACGGAGCTGTGCCGCCACTTCCCGGCCACGTCGCAGCTGGGCGAGGTTTGGGATTTTCTCAATCACGCCGAGAGCCAAAACGACCCGCGCTCCCCTCTTCCGCGTGCACCTCGTCTACAATGACAACAAGTGGCGGTGACGTCACCACGGCGCTTGTGCCAGGCTAAGTGCACGTCGAGGCCACGTGAAGTTCAAACGCCCGCTGGCAGGTCACAGAACAGACCCAGGGTGCCACGAGTTGCCGACTGAGATGACTGAGATGACCGAGATGACTGGCTGCTGCTGCACCCCCTGTGCCCCCTACTCTGCCAAGTTCATCGTTGCTGTGAGCGTCGCCCCTCCACCCTCCGTTGTTGCTGGAGGGCGACTGCCTCCAACTGCCCAGTAGCAGCAGCAGCAGCAGCAGCGTCCTTCACGAGCCTCCTCCACAGAGGCCGACCTTGATGACACCGCTGGTACCGGTCATCGGGAAATTCCACTCGGCTCCACCTTGCCAAGCACCCACTCCCCCCCCCAACCACCACCAATCCACCCCCCCCCGGCCACACTCACCCCCTCTCCGGGTTCACGACGATGGAGCGTGGCCGATCGGCACCGCCGCCGAGCACCACCCCCACGGGGCGCCCGTCCAGGCGCGTCACGTTCACCACGTTGGTGCTCTCGCACGTCCAGTAGATGGCGCGGCTGTACACGTCCAGGCTGAGGTCGAACGGCTGTGAGCCACCACCCCACGCCGCCACCAGCGTCCACAGCTGCACGCGCGAGCGAGCACGAGCGAGCGAGCACGCACGAGCGAGCGAGCACGCACGCGTGTGTGCGGTTTATTTATAATGGGAGGAATCCGTTGAGCTATCAAGCTTTTTTTGAGAGATGTCCAGTGGGGGCCACAGGTCAGAACGTTACAACAACAACACAATGCAAAAATACAGAAACAGTGCAAAATAAAAAAAAATATACACAAATAAAACTAACCCAGTTTTTTTTTTTTTTTAAATCTTACCAGGTTAAAGCTGACCGAGTTATTAGCTTCCTTCAAGAAGTGACCTGGCCACAAATGATAGCTCAACAAAGTGGCTCATCAAGTGGACGTTTATAGCAGCCAAATATCCTCGCAACACGTGATGCCGATTCTAAACGCGCATGGGAAAAACTCGGAGGACTCGGAAAGAAAGATCCACGCGACCGCGGGGAGAACATGCAAACTCTAAATATACAGCAGCAGGCGTCAGGGTCAGGATCGTACCCACGGCCTCCTGCATACCAGGCGAGGTAGCTGACATCTTGACATCGTGGCGCAGACACAAGCAGTACCGCGCGTACCCCCATGGCCGACATCGAGCAGTTCAATGCAAGAGAATGCCCTTAAAAGCGCACCACTTGAAAATCAGATACATGTTTACCGCGGTTCCAGATGTAGGAGTCGGTGCAGAATCAATGTTTACACGGCTCTTCGCAGTACAGCTGACCACCCCCAAGATTAAGTCAGCGGGGATGTTTTGCAGCAGTGGACTCAAGCGAACGAGTCTACACAGGAGTCGACGAGGTTTAATTTAAATATAACAAAGATCACCCGCATAGTCTGAACAGACTGTTGGGGCAAGTGCTGTTAGACCGGAATGGCACACGAGGGGGTGGGTGGCCAACACCACGCCCGGCCGTCTTTGTCTCCCTAATGGCGATGTTTACTACACACTGCACCAGGTACTCATTTCGAGGCCGAGTTGACCTAGGGGAGGCCCAGGACACGTTCAGATAACCGTCACCGGTGTTTAGTCGTGAGCGGGAATCGAACCCGGGGTCGCCGGGTTCGTAGTGCAGCACGCTAACCACTAGACTATGCATGATATACACACACGCACGCACGCAATATTATACAACATTAACACACTGTCGCCCACCCCCCCCCCCCCACCCCGTAACCGGTACATCACATTAAATATATACACACACACACACAAACATGCACACAGATGGATGGCAGGCGGTCAAAACTGTTTGACAAGATTAATGAAAGCAAGGTTTCTCCAATAAACATTGCAGAGTTCTTTTATAAACCCAGCTTCATCAACTTTGTTTAAACACCCATGGCGATGTCGCATAAGTGCAGTAAAATACCACGGGCCTTACTCTATGTATATCATCCATAACAGAGGTTTTTTTTTTTTTGGGGTTAGAGCGCGTAAATATATAGATGCGTCGTCAGACCCGGCACTACCCGACACAGTCTGTTAGTAAGGGTTGTGACGTAAACAGAACGTGCCAATTCGTTACGAGTACAGCACAGCGGCGTGTTGGAGAGTAAACCCTCTAATTATGGATAATATTGGTCGTGAATGCCTAAGTGCAGGGGCGGAGCCAGGGGGGGGGGTGACAGGGGTGACATTCTGCGTACGACACTCGGTCTGGCGGCCTCCGTGCAACTGCATTTGTCAGAGTGTATCGCCAACCGATGGCGTCTGGCTCAACAGCCTGACTCTCTAATCATTCTTGAAATTAACATTTGTTGAAATGTCACCCCGGCCTGAAATCCTGGCTCCGCCCCTGCCTAAGTGTAGTGACATGGCTGGATGTCAACAGACTGTGGGTGTAGTACCGGCCCTAGAGGGGCCCGGTGAGCGCTGAGTGATAGCGCTGGATGGCACCACGCTTGGCATGCAGTGCCGACCCTGCAGGACAGGGTGTGTGGGTGCCCGCCGAAGGATGGGGTTATGTCAGGCCATGGCACTCTGGTTGACTCGAGAGGACACGTGACCGGTTAAGTTGACATAGGGGCCCCAAGAGGGGGCTAGGGGGGGGGGGGGGTCACGTGATTGGGACCCAGATCCTTTCCGAGGATTCTGGAAGGTGGTCGTGGCCAAGGGCGGAGCCAGCCACGCCGCAGAGAATATCAGCCGGGTCCTGAGAGGGACCGGCGTTGTTGTTGTTCATCCTGGAAGAAACCCTTTGTCTACGTTCTCCGTTCAACGAGTCTCCAACACGTGGACCGGGGCTGAAGTCGTTCGTCCCGGTCCGTAGTAGCAGTTACGTAGTAACTAGTGTAGTAACTAGTGTAGTAACTACTGTAGTAGCAGTTACGTAGTAACTAGTGTAGTAACTAGTGTAGTAACTAGTGTAGTAGCAGTTACGTTGTAACTAGCGTGGTTAGCCTGGTGGTCACACCAGTCACGTGGTAACTAGTGTAGTTCACCTGGTGGTCACCACCCGGTTAACTACACCAGTTGCGTAGTGACTAGTGTAGTAACTAGTGTAGCTAGCCGGGTGGTCACCACCTTAGGTTGATATTCTGTCAAGGGGAAGTTACCCCGGGTGTTGGAACTGAATACATGTGTTGCCTCCAAGTCTACTACATCTGTGACTCAGTTGAACCCATTACATAAGTATTCAATCTATTTCTATTATACTGCTATCGACACTTTTTGACCGTTTGGCAAATATCCCTAGTGTCTATATAAATACTGTACCTACAACTCGAATGCGCTCGATCCCACCAGACTTCGCAAGCCAAGCAGGTTTGAGCCTGGACAGCGACTGGATGGGTGACCGCTATGTTCTGGAAGACAGCTGCAGTAGGCATTGTGGGCAGCAGAGGGCAGTGCGGCAAAGGCCACCGTTGTCTTACGGTTAAGGCCTACTGCCCAACGCGCTGTCACGCAACGCGTTTTGTGCGCTTTCTGACCCTCGCGGAAACTTGGCTAATCCCGTGTGCTCCTTCGCCGGACGGCCGTCCGTCGACAGCGACACTCGTTTATTTACTTCAGGCAACCTGTACGCATGCCGAGCTTCTTTCGCATCACCGTGCTAATCGGAGGTGCGGGAGAAGGCCAACAAACAACACACGCAATAAGTAGTTCTAAGAGAAATGAGTTTGTCAGTCTAGACAATGATTGTAAAGTGCCGTAGCTCAAGTGGATTCCTAATATCGGAAGGAAGCGCGCGTTCCAGACGGCCGCAGAGGCTCGTCCGAAAGCGCGCGACGCGGTGACCGTCTTTGTCAGGTGGCTTCGCCAAAAAGCCGCTGCTGCTGCTGCTGATGTAGATGCCGCTGGTTCTTCACGTTCTGCAGATGTAGATGCCACTGGTTCTTCACGTTCTGCAGATGTAGATGCCACTGGTTCTTCACGTTCTGCAGATGTAGATGCCACTGGTTCTTCACGTTCTGGTGATGTAGATGCCACTGGTTCTTCACGTTCTGCAGATGTAGATGTCACTGGTTCTTCACGTTCTGCAGATGTAGATGCCACTGGTTCTTCACGTTCTGCAGATGTAGATGCCACTGGTTCTTCACGTTCTGCAGATGTAGATGCCACTGGTTCTTCACGTTCTGCAGATGTAGATGCCACTGGTTCTTCACGTTCTGCAGATGTAGATGCCACTGGTTCTTCACGTTCTGCAGATGTAGATGCCACCTGGTTCTTCACGTTCTGCAGATGCAGATGCCACCACCGCCATTCTATTGCGCGGCGGTTGAACTTACGAATCTCGGTCCGAAAAGGCAACTGGGCAAACGGGACGTTAGTTTGTTCGCATCCCTGAAAGTTCGCAAGTCGAATGTCCTGTAAGCGGGGGAAGCCCCTGTAGGCCAAGCAAAGACAGGGGCGGCGAGCACCCACCTGGGTGCCGTCCTCGCGGGCACGGCGGATGGTGCCCTGGCGCCCCTCCACCCAGTAGATGAGCTTGTCCAGGGGGTCGTAGTCGATGGCGCGCACGCTGCGCAGGGACGGCAGCGGCAGCACGATGTCGGGGCTCTGCAGGTCGTCGAGCAGCATGCGGTTCACGGCCGTGCGCTGGCTGAACAGCAGGAACGACGTGGGCGCTTGGTGGCCAACGGTGCACGGTGGGGGAGGCGAGAAGGCACGGTGAGAATGCAACATCGCCGACCTGTCGCTAGGGCTTCCACACGTCGGGCGGCAGTTACAGATTAGCACGGTCCGCACCTCCGATTGGCACAGTTGGCTATGAGGAAGCCAATGGCGGCTATGCACTTTCAAATCATCCACATTGAAAATGCATTTCTTTAGAGCTGCTTTTCGTGTTTAGTTTGTCGTCCTTCCTCCCACGGCGGGGAAGAAGTTCAACGTACGTACATACGGGACATCGCAGGATGGAGGGAACATGCAACACTCGAGCAGAGCAAACGCGGCGGCAAATCATTATCACGAACCACGGTTCCCGCACGCATCCGGGACACGGGGGAAGGGGGGGGGAGTGGGAGATAACTCACGCGAGCAGGTGCGGTTGTCGGCGTTGAGGGTGTAGTGAGCCGGGCAGCCACAAACGTAGCTCCCACCGGGGCGCGCCAGGCACAGGTGGGAACACTGACCGTTCCCCATGACGCACGCGTTCCATCCGCCCTGCCGAGCGAGCGAGCGCGACGCGACGCGACAAGTTAGCACGTAGGTTCTCTCAAACGATTTTGGCTAACCGTTGGAACAAAGGCGGTCAACCATATAGCGCGCTTTCAGGTGCGCTTCTGCGGCCGTCTGGAACGCTCTTCGTTCTGATATTAGGAAGCCACTGGAGCTGGGCACTTTTAAATCGTGTAGATTGAAAACAAATTTTTCTACACAACCTGCTTTTTGTGTTGAGTTTCGCGACCCAATATCATCAACAATACAGGTTCTTTTGGGTCTGATGGTGTAAATATAAAACGCGTCGTTAAACTCGTCACCACCTGACACAGGCAATTAGTAAGGTTTGTCACGTAAACGGAACATGCCAATTCGTTATGAGTACAGCTAGTAACGGTGTGCTGTACTCGTAAGGAATTGGCATGTTCTGTTCAAGTGACACAACCGTACCGATTGGCTGTCGGATGGTGGTGTATTTAACGACACATTTATACTTAAGCTACCTAACCCCAAAACCTCTATTATGGATAAGGGTCCTCGCGCCTGCGAGTGCGTACGGCTACACACTTTCACAGTACACGACCGCGTGTGTGCGTACAACCATGTGTTTTGCCCCCGGTACACACCTGTGTGTGTGTGTGTGTGCAAAAAGTGTGCGGAAGCGGTAGCGTAGCACTTTGGCGGGCTGCACTACGAACCCGGCGATCCGAGTTCCATCCCCGCTCACGGCCAACGTCGGCGACAAGTATTCGAACAGGTCCTGGGTCGACTCAGCATCAAATGTGAGTACCTGGTGCGGCGTGTAAACATCGCCACTGGGGAGACAAAGGCGGGCCGGGCGTGGTGCTGGCCACCCACCCCCACCCACCGTTTGCCGTTCCGTCCATCAAAAAGGTGCTCGCTAATAGCACTTGCCCCACCAGTCTGTTCAGGCTATACGGGGGTGGGGGATCTTCGCCTTTGTTGTGCAAGAGAGTGTCTGTGTCTGGCACGTGTCCACCTGTCCGGAGTGCTCAGCGGTTGCTCGGTCCGTGGCTGCGCGAGTGCGCTCGCCGCGGCTCACCTGCCGGCTCGAGTGGAACACCAGGATGTCCATGACGTCGTCGAGCTGCGACTGGATGAGCGTGCGGTTTTTGCCGTCCGTCTTGTTGGCACGCTCGATGCTGCGCCGCGTCCAGTCCGTCCAGAAGATGTAGTCCTGGTACTGGGTGAGGCCGAACGGGTGCGGCAGATCGTCCGCGATCACGCCCCGGTTTTCTCCTGGTTGGATATCACCGCCACCACCACCACCGCCGCCGCAATGATCATTACTCTCAGTCGGGATTGTTTTAAATCAGTGTTCTTCGCTAATTGTCAGAGGGAGGCCACTTTCGCCGATGAGACATCATCAGTGTGAGGTGCCGCCACACGGTTGATACCACCGCTGGGTTTGACAGCAGCACGATGATGATGATGATGGGGGGTGTTTTCACTATCTGCGTGTTGTCAGGGGGCCACACGTCAAGGGGCCGCACTAAAGGCCACCAGGGGCTGCCAGTGGCCCGTGGTGGCCTTGCAATGAAAAACGCCGTTGTAAGCAAAATGCTGCCGGGTTACCAGATGTTATTGGCAAGAGTATTCCATCAAAACAATGAAATGCAAAGAAAGCCACATTGTACACAGACTATTCTAGATTTGAAGCTTTCGTGACTGCATGGATTCACACTCTTTGTTTTTTTTTTCGGTAAAGTCACGTAGGTAAAATACAATTAAAAAAAGTGATATCATTAGTTGTTTTCATTCATGTTATTTTACCTACGCGACTTTACCAAAAACAACAGACTGATTTACGCATTACTGTCGAGCATTTATGGGTAAACGGTTTTGAGACCGATTTAAGCTTTGCTGGTTAAAGGGCAACTTTATTATTATTATTATCATCATCATCATTATTAGAAGAAGAACTTGTACGAGCGGCGGGACAACCTAGCAAGTCGGAAGACTCGATGAGGTAGGTGTCCAGGTCGGCCCAGTAGAGGCGGCGCGCCGCGTAGTCGATGGTGAGGCCGTTGGTGCGGCCCACGTTGGCGAGCAGCACGCGGCGCTCCGTGCCGTCCATGCAGGCACGCTCCACGAGCGGCCGCCCACCCCACTCGGTCCAGTACATGTAGCTGAAACACGCGCGCCAACGGGGAGAGGGCCGCACACGGGACGGGGGCACGCAGCTCAAAGAAGACCTCAGCACGTGAAACCACAAGCCACGTATTCTTGGTTCTTTCGGTAAAGTCGTGTCGAAAGGAAACAAGAAAATAACAAAATATGTATGTAGAGCAATAAAATTCTCACGACGTTTCGACTGCAACACAAGCAGTTTTCGCACCTGATGATGACTGCTTGCGTTGCAGTCGAAACGTCGTGAGAATTTCGTTGTTTCGTATTTATTTTATTGTTTCCCTTCAACGCGACTTTACCGAAAGAACCAAGAATATGAATCGTCGCAGTCACGAAAGCTTTAAACCAAAATATAAGCTATGTTTTATTTAACCAGGGGTAAGGCCCCACCCCCAACTCGCCTGGCAAATGTCTTGACGACGACATAAGAGACTGGTTCCAAAAAGACGGTGCACCACTTGGCACGAGGACAGAGGGAAGTGGAAGCAAATAGCGAAATGCGCAGTGGACACCTACGATTGTGATGATGTTGATGATGAAGATCCACCGAGCTCTTTTTACACGCCTTCATTTAACTCGCTCTGTCTGTTGTTGTATCCTCAAATCTTGTAACTCAATTTTAACCCACTTCCCAATGTGGAATCGACTGCAAACTTGGTATACTAATGTCGTACTGATGACGATACTATATTCTATCATTAAAAATAATATATATATTTTTAAACATTATTTTGTATATGTTATGTTTCGGCTTGGGCCTAATTGTCCACGGTCAACTGACGTTGGCTGTAATTGGCCACGGCCCCCTTACGTTATGGCAAGCTTCGGGGCCACTTCCTGGAGTCGTGGAGTTCTGACATTACTAGTACGTTACATTTCATTAAAGCGTGTTTTTAAAAAAGTTTTTAAAAATATTACTTATTTATTCACAAGCGACCTGGCTACCACAAATTATAGCTCAATGAAGTGGATTATTATCACGTGGAAAAGTAAAGCTGCCAAATACTCTCAAATGCATGATGTTGATGCTAAATGTGGAGGGGAAAAAACCGGAGGATCCGGAGGAAAATCCGTGCGACTTTGGGGGAGAACGTGCAAACTACAAATATACAGTAAAACCTTGGATTGCGAGCATAATTCGTTCCGGAAACGTGCTTGTAATCCAAAGCACTCGTATATTAGTTGTTATCACGTGACGCTCGGCAGTACAAAGCGTGTACGTTACTGCTCGTATTGCAAGACCCTCGCTCGTTTATCAAATTAATATTTACGTAAAATTTTTGCTCATCTTGCAAAACACTCGCAGACCAAGTTACTCGCAATCCAAGGTTTTTACTGTACAGGTGTCAGGGTCGGGATCGAACTCAAGAGGCATCATGGAAAGCAGGTGAGGTAGCTAAAATCTTGCCACCGTGGCTCCCTCTGCAGCTCGAGTACAGCGGTAGCTGCATAACCCCCACGAGCTCAATGGGGGCTTTAAAAACGTTTAGTTTCATTGGTATATATTTTTTTAAAGTGATTTGTTTACTCTTCCCCTACTCTGCACTCCCGTCGTGTCTTTGTATTGTTTGTTGTTGTAACGGTCAGACCCACGCGCCTACTGGACATCTGCGAAAAAAAAAAAAGAGCTTCACGGCTCATTGGATTCGTCCAGCACAAATAAATATTCCGGTTCCGTGGCGCGGACCGCAGGAAATTAATCCCCGAAACTAATCACGGCCCCTTCCGCTCACGAAATTAAGTCACGCGGCCGTTGTCACCCACCCCCTGGGCCCTTGGCGCGTCATGCCCAGGCGCCCTCCATCCCGGCAGTCTCCCCAAGATCAAATGGGGCGGTGGGGGGGGGGTGGGGGACAGCGGGCAACGTCGCGTGCGGGGCGTTACCCCTCGACAGGATCGAGTGCCAGCGCGCGCGGATTGTCCAGGTCCTTCCACACGAGCACCGCGCGGTGCTCCCCATCCTGACGCGCGACCTCGATGCGGTTCGTCATCGTGTCCGCCCAGTACAAGTTCTTGCCCAGCCAGTCCACGGCCATGCCCTCGGGGTAGTCCAGCCCAAACTCGATGACCGTCGCCATCGCGCTGCCGTTCATGTACGCGCGGCTGATCGTCTGCGGAAACGAAGGAGGTTTCATTGCAAATGACGTAAACAAAAAACCGAACACAAACCAACAAAGGAAAAGTAGGGGCCCCGATCAATTTTACGTCGCCGAATAGCCTGCGAAGGAGCAACACGTGCGGCAGAGTACGGTTTCGCTTGCCAAAAGAATGCCGAGATGCGACGGGAGCAGGCGCAATAGCTTGGTGCAGCTGTTCCCAACCTGTGATACGCGGACCCCCCGGCGCTCTGCGAGGCTACTACATGGGGTCCCGCGGGGACAAACAAAAAAAAAACCTGCAAACGATTTTTTCATTTTATCAGGTAAGGTTCGCTGAGCTATATAGTAATCTCTTTTTCAGAAGTGACCTGGCGACGTACGATAGCTCAAAAAAGGTGTCTCATCACGTGGAAATGTAGCCAAATGCAGTAACTGTAAAGGCACGTTCATTCTAGATGTGGAGGGGAAAAACCGGAGGACCTGGAGAAAAATCCGCACGACCACGGCAAGAGCAAGAGACACGCAAACTCCAAATATACAGCAGGCGTTGGGGGTCAGGATCGAACCCACGATCTCCTGTACACCAGGCGAGGGAGTTAACATCTCAACACCACCGTGATGATGATGAGAGAAAGAGAGACACGCAAACTCCAAATATACAGCAGCAGGCGTCGGGGTCAGGATCGAACCCACGATCTCCTGCGTACCGGGCGAGGGAGTTAACATCTCCTAGCCACCATGGTGATGATGATGAGAGAGAGAGACACGCAAACTCCAAATATACAGCAGGCGTCAGGGTCAGGATCGAACCCACGATCTCCTGCGTACTGGGCGAGGGAGTTAACATCTCCGAGCCACCGTGATGATGATGAGAGAGAGAGAAAGACACGCAAACTCCAAATATACAGCAGGCGTCGGGGTCAAGATCGAACCCACGATCTCCTGCATACCGGGCGAGGGAGTTAACATCTCAACACCACCGTGATGATGATGAGAGAGAGAGAGAGAGACACGCAAACTCCAAATATACAGCAGGCGTCGGGGTCAGGATCGAACCCACGATCTCCTGCGTACCGGGCGAGGGAGTTAACATCTCAACACCACAGTGATGATGATGATGATGAGAGAGAGAGAGAGACACGCAAACTCCAAATATACAGCAGGCGTCGGGGTCAGGATCGAACCCACGATCTCCTGCGTACCGGGCGAGGGAGTTAACATCTCAACACCACCGTGATGATGATGATGATGAGAGAGAGAGAGAGACACGCAAACTCCAAATATACAGCAGGCGTCGGGGTCAGGATCGAACCCACGACCTCCTGTACACCAGGCGAGGGAGTTAACATCTCCTAGCAACCTCGGCGCCGAGCAAAGGGTTCCGCGCACTCGAAAAGGTTGCGAACCGCCGGCGTGGCGGACGTCGCCTTAGCGAAACGCAAAATACCCGAACCCCCCTGCGTGCACGCAAGGCGCGCTCCGACCTTGAGGCCGATGTCGGTCCAGTAAATGCGATTGTCGGCCACGTCGAAGTCGAGCGCCGACGCCTCCTTGATGCCGGCGAGCGGGATGGCGACGTCGCCGCGGGCGTTCGTCTCCAGCGAGATGCGGCGGATGTCGCCGCGGCGCGAGAACAGCAGGAAGGCCTTGGGCACGACGCAGGTGCGCGCGTCCGCCAGCAGCTCCTGGCCCAGGGGGCAGCCGCAGCGGGGCCCCCCCCGGGCGGAACAGGCACAGGTGGCTGCAGCCGCCGTTCTCCTCCCCGGCGCAGGCGTTCGTGCCTGTAGCCGGCGGCGGCACGAGCGGTGGCAGGCGGGGAGGGTGGGGCGAAGGCGGGCGGGGAGAGCAACGCGGTGAAGGGCACCGGACACCGAAGAAAAAAAACAGACGGACGATTAAATAAGCGCGTCAATGGTTGTGGCGGAGCCGTCGAACAAAGGCGGCCACCGCGTCGCGCGCCCTTCCGGCGCGGGGTACCTGACGGAGCGGCGACGGCGGTCGCCTTGAGCCCCATGAGGTCCGGGAGCTGGTCGATGAGGACCTGCCGCTCGCCCGTGCGCTTGTGGGCGCGCTCCACGCTGCGCCGCTGCCAGTCGGTCCAGTAGACGAAGTCGCCCAGCAGCGTGAGGCCAAAGATGTGCGGCAGCTTGTCCTCCACGAGCACGCGGCGGCCAGAGCCGTCCAGCTTTATCATCTGGCGACGAGAGAGGTGGGCAGCCACACACCGTTAGGACGAGATCGATCGCAAGCACGGGGCCGACTTGGGATGTCGCTGCCCTGGGCGTATGCACGTTGAACTTCTTTCGCACCGCGCGTGGCCAACCGTGCTAATCGGCAGGTGCGGGAACGCACCGCATGTTGAAAAATCGAAGGCGCGGGTGGGTTTGCGAGTGCTGAGCTGGCACCGTTGAAATCCTGGTTTTTGGAATCCTGGAAGCTGGCCATGACAGGACTTGGTTCGCATGTGCGTGTGTGTATACGTACGCACGTTGAACTTCTTTCGCGACGGCACGTAGCCAACCACGCTCAAACAGAGCAGCAGGTGGTTCGTGGGTCAGAGCGCCGAGCTGGGACCAATGAAATCCTGGTTTTTCGAATCCTGGCAGCTGGCCGTGACGTAGCTAACCTTGCTAAGCAAACGTGCGGGAACTCGCTGCATGTGGAAGCGAGTTGATGGTCCAAGTCACCAATTTTTAATCGACGAACCGATAACATTTTTAGTTCCCCACCACGGGCCACGGGAAACCTAGCTGTGCAGCAATTGAAGCAGGCGAAAATAAACGTCTACAAAACCAGTGGCATCTGTGGACAAATAAATAGAGCGGATGCCCTGGACCCCGAAGATTAAAAGGATTTGTGGATAAGACGAAAAAAAAAAGGCGGGTCATACACGTTTCATAAAATAAAATAAAAATGTAATCAAAGAAAATGTTAAATGAAAGAGATCAAATGTAAAGCTTCGAATCAATTTGCTGCGCGTGCCAAGATATTTGACCGTCGTTGTGACCGTCCACCGGACAATGTTGATACGTCCACCAAATCGGACATGTCCAGCCGGGGCCGATGCAGAAGTGCGTGCGTGTAGAACCGGCGAAAGCGTTCAACTCGCAGACTGTCCAAATTAGATGCATCTCACACGTTCGAAAACAGCGGGGTGGGGGAGTGGGGGTGGGGGAGTGGGGGATTTGGCAGTGATGTCGACTCACGCCGTGCCAAATAAGTGGCAGAGTGCACACTGCACAACTGGTTCCAGTCAAGCTCGGTTCGTGGCAAAAATAAAACATTTCAGATGGGGAACTCTCTCGTGTGGAGATTAATAAGAGACCGAGTTTTGAACTGGACAGTGTGATTAAAATCGATCGGATTACGTGTCCTTTCCGACGAGCGCGTAAGATGTCGACGATTTAAGCGTTTTTGCAAGACCAGGCCTTTGCATGCAAATGGGTCGCGCAGCAATTTATTGCCAATTTAATATCACATCATCGTGATGATTATTATTCACTTAAAAACAAAACGACGCGTTGTGGGGGGGGGGGGCACTGGCTGGCTGGCTATCTCCGAGGACCGGTTTGCTAAGAAAATCACTGCCCCACCACTCTTAAATCCTTAAAAAAAAAACAGCAAACCGGCTTGCGAAACCACGCAGGAATTTTGTCGCGTCAGCGCGTGAACTCTCGTGCGGCCAGACAGCAGACGGGCTCAAACGGCGTGTCACATCACGGTGGCAAAAAAAGAAAAAAATACTCGCCAAACAAAAATTCAACCAACCGTCACATGACCGACCGACCGACCGGCACAGCGCTGTATGTTTGCAGAACCTCATCCCACTTAGTGATCACAGCTTCGGGGGTTGGGAGGTGGGGTGGGGGGCGGGGAGTCTGGAGGGAAAAAAATTCGATTCTAAAGTAGGGAGTAGGGGGGGGGGGGTCACCAGAATTAAATGGAGTTTTCCTGTAATTACAGAATGATAGTAAATTCACTTTCATGTGATTTGGAAGGCGAGTTGGCGGAGTGGATAGCGCACTGCACCGTGAAACCCGGTGACTCGAGTTCAATTCCCCGGGTCACGACTTTCATTGAGTAGCGAGTGGTGTAGTAGTCCGTAGGTCAGAGCAGTAATTGGTATCACCGAAGGGTAGCGCATCTTGAGTACAACCCATTTACTTACATCGCCAATGAAGGTGAATTACAAGATAACCATCTGACCATTTGAAATTGCTATTGCATCATTTACTGTTATTGACCACGTAGAAATTGTTATGCCAGCTCTAGTGGTACTGGACAAGAGAGGGATCCGATCTGGGCTCATGGGCTAGTATCTGGACGGGGTCCTAGGCCCCTCTTCACCAAGCCCCAACTGACCAGCGTGGTGAAGTATGGTCAAACAACACCGACGTGGGGCTTCCGCGAACAATATTATCTAAAAAATAGATTTTTTTGGGGGGGGGGTGAGATCGTCACGAGTGTCAACGCGTGTGGAGGACCTCATCCCAGAGTGGATTGATAAAGAACTGGTAATTGGTATTTTTTTTTTTCTCTGAATGTCTTTTAATTATGGGATCACGTCGTGAGATTGAGATGAAGCGAGTAGCGAGGAAAGAGTGTGTTACGGAAGTGACCGCTGTTTTTACTTTTTTCATTCCTCTTCCACGTTAAATCGCTCAGTAACGTTTCACTCTTTAAAAGTTCAACCTCAAAACATCAGCCGTTCCGAGTTTTTATTTTAATAGAGAGGACAATGATTCGAGCCCTGAACAGTCGCTCTTTTTCAGAAGCGACCTGGCCACAACTGACAGCTCAACGAAGTGGACTTATCACGTGGAAATGTACAGCAGTCAAATGCCCTAAGCGCGTGATGTTGATTCTAAATGTGGAGGGTAAAACTGGAGGACCCGGGGAAAGAAAAATCCACGCGACGAAAGGGAGGACACGCAAACTCCAAATATATAGGGCGTCAGGGTCGGGATCGAACCCACAACTTCCTGCATATCAGGCGAGGGAGACAACATCTCGTAATCGTGGCACCCCATATAACCTGCACCGTCCACCCCGTTTTAGCCGCGTTCATTCCACTAACCTCAAAAAAAATGTTCACCTTATCTAAAACGTTCACCTCATCTAAAATGACCAATATCTGTACGTAAAAGCTCACTGCATTCATCAATAATGCCGCCTTCAAAAGAAGGCGACATTATTGACGAACGTGTTAAGGTCTCTTCGGTCAATAAGTCTGCCTGTGCACCGCTGCAAACTCGGCAGCAGCAGCAGCAGCGTCGCCAAATAATCTATCGAGCATCTCACACTCTTGGCTCAATGCACTACGTACACAAGAGTTAAAAAAAATTAAATCATCACTGTTGGGTCAACGGGTCACGAATGCGCCAATTCAAAAACGATCATTACATGCTACTTGTATTCTTGGTTCTTTCGGTAAAGTCACGTTGAAGGGAAAAAATAAAATAGTAAAATATATATAAAACAATAAAATTCTCACGACGTTTCGACTGTAACACCTGATGACTGTTTGTGTTACAGTCGAAACATCGTGAGAATTTAATTGTTTTAGATATATATTTTATTGTTTCCCTTCAACGTGACTTTACCGAAAGAGCCAAGAATATGAATCATTGCAGTCACGAAAGCTTTAAATCAAAATATTACTTGTACTTAAAGCCACGCAGGCTGGATGTAGGTCGCGTTAACACAACACCCACACGCGCACATACAAAGTGAGTGGCTCTTACTTCCAATATTAGGAAGCCACTGGAGCTATGCACTTTAAAAAAAACTCGATCGCGGGCGCCGCGCGTCCGCCCCCCCCCTTCCCGTGACGGACGCGGTGACGGTGACGGTGGAGGGGGGGGGGGGGTGGCTCACCTCGATGCGGTCCGTCTTGGCGTCTCCCCAGTAGAGCGTGCCCAGAGCGAGGTCGAGCGCCAGCCCGTTGGGCCAGCCCAGGGACGTGTTAACGAGCACGACGCGCTCCGAGCCGTCCAGGTTCGCTTGCTCTATCTTCGGCCGCTCGCCCCAGTCCGTCCAGTACATGTACCTGACGCGCGGCACAGGAACGCGCGGCAGACAGCACACAGTGGGCGAGATGCTTTGGCTCTGCGTCAAAGTTTTCCACAGGCGGCAGCGTCGTCGTCGTAAGCCACGATCGATCGCACCGCTGGGACTATACAATGCCTAGCCGATGAACCACCCAATGCCTAGCCGATGAACCACGCAATGCCTTGCCGATGAACCACGCAATGCCTTGCCGATGAACCACGCAATGCCTAGCCGATGAACCAGGCAATGCCTAGCCGATGAACCAGGCAATGCCTAGCCGATGAACCAGGCAATGCCTTGCCGATGAACCAGGCAATGCCTAGCCGATGAACCAGGCAATGCCTTGCCGATGAACCAGGCAATGCCTAGCCGATGAACCAGGCAATGCCTTGCCGATGAACCACGCAATGCCTAGCCGATGAACCAAGCAATGCCTAGCCGATGAACCACGCTATGCCTTGCCGATGAACCAACCAATGCCTTGCCGAAGATCTCGTCGAGAAGCATAAACCAATCACCCAAACTCTGGTCATGCTCGCAGCGGCGGCCTTTTGGCTAAGCCGTCGAACAAAGACGGTCCACCGCATCGCGCACTTTCGAATGCGCTTCTGCGACCCTCTGGGAACACCCTTCCTTCCGATATTAGGAAGCCACTGGGGGGGAAGCTATGCGCTTTTAAATCATCTCGATTGAGATACGCGCTTCTTTCGAACTACTTTTGGTGTCTAAGTTTGTTGTCCTTCCCTCCGCACCTCCGATTAGCACGATTGGCTAAGCAACGGTGCGAAAGAGGCTCAACAAACGTACGTGCGTACGTACGTAAACCATCGTTACGTCTCACAATCCATTCGGCACCCGCGTGCGAGCTCACTCGGCGACGCCGCGAACTCGCCCGACTCTGGAAATTGATGCAGCCAAACCCACCAACCAACCCAAGGCCCAAAACGAAATCTTCAATCCACCGCTCCCCACCGCGCTCCGCGTTTTGCGACGCACAGTATGGAGCGGTCAGCTCCCACCGTGGACCCACAAACTGCTGCCGAATTCAAATTGCGTGCCAGCCACGGTGGCAGCGCCCGTCAGTAGAGGGCGCGGCCATAGAGGCGCTCCTAAACATCAACTTGCAACGATATATTTTTTTTCCTCTCTCGCACTTACAAAACCTCGACACCGGCACACCGCAACACAGCACGGTAGGCGGCTACAAACTACGAGCTGTTGGGCTTATGGCCAGACAGCCCGGTAATGCGCCCGATCTCGTCAGATCTCGGAAGCCAAGCGTGGATGAGTGCCCACTACGCACGACAGGCTGTTTCACAGGCTGCAGGAGACGGCCAAAAGGCTGGGTGTCAGAGCAGCAAACACGCTGTTGTTGTACCGCACTTCTATGCTTCCCAGATCGACGGCTCCCCAATTTAACCAACCGGCACTGGCCAGCATTACTTGCGATCGAATAACCCCCTACCCCCGCCTCTCCCACGACCTAAAAAACGTGGGGAAGAACCTCACCCAGCAGTAGGTTGACAAAAGGTTGAATGTACACAAGGTACAAGGCCTCATTGATATCTGAATGTTAACTTTAACGGTCCCGAGTTCCCGACCACCCACCAACCACACTGACCAACGTAGTGAATTAAGTCCAACTAACTCGTACTTTCGGAAGTGCTCCTGCGGCCGTCTGGAATGCCCTTCGTACCGATATTATGCAAGCCGATGGAGCTACGCACTTTTAAATCGTCTAGATTGACGAACTAATTTCTTTCGAATCTGCTTTGTCCGTTTAGTTTGTTGTCCTTTGGCCGTGCGAAAGATTTTGCGACGTACGTACAACTATGACCAGAGGTTCCAGGACCACCGGGGAAAAATTTGTGGCTCACCTTTCGAGGACTTGCGGGTAATGGCCACCACACACGTCGTTGCGTAGAAGACAGCGCTGACTCGCAGAGTCCCAAAACTCAACTTAAAGAGTCATTATTAATGGGCCTGTACATTGGCGCCGCTGTAGTTGCCTTCTTGCTACGGCAAAGCGGCCCGACCTCCACGGTCGGCAACGTACGGCGCCGAAAGAAGTTCTACGCGAGCACGTAACAACCGCTACGCGGCACGGTAGTCCCTCGTCCAGCAGCGTGGCCGACAAACGTCGTGGCGCGTACCCGGCGAGCGGGTGCAGCGCGAGGGCCCGGGGCTCCTGGAGGTCCTCGGAGACAAGGACCTGGCGCGAAGAGCCGTTGAGACGCGCCACCTCGATGTGGTCGGTGCCCGTGTCGCTCCAGTAGAGGTTCCGGGCGATCCAGTCCACCGCCAGCCCGTCCGGGTGCTGCACCTCCGTCCATATTAGTGTCTCCTCTGTTGGTTCGTGTTGTTGTTGTTGTTGATGTTGTTGAAGAATCAATATCAGAGAGGTCACATCAGACAGATAAACAATGACAAAGATCACCCCCCCCCCCCCCACACACGGATAGCCTATTAAACACTGTTGGGCCAAGTGCTGTTAGTGAATAGTGCCCATGTAATCCCCGACATAGCCTGCAACAGACTGTTTGGGCAAGTGCTGTTAGCGAGCACCTATGAAGGCTGGTAAGGCACAACAAGGCGGTGGGTGGCCAGCTGAAATAAAAGTAGTTCAGTCTATGCGTCGAATGAGAGAGCGCAGACGAGACACCGTCTAAAACAAAGACGGCGTAACCGATGCGGACAACGCAAATTATTCCACCAAGTACGAACGAGACGCCGCAAACGAAAAAAAAAATAGCGTAGAGTCTCGAATCGAAACCGTCGCCCCGTTTGCGATAGGCGCCTTGGCCTCTGAAAAAGAGAGAGGGAGGTGTAGCGCCCGTTGTTTTTTTAAAAGACGTCGTTACCCACCGCAGAGAAACCCTGCAGCGACGCGACCGCCGCACCCGACGATAGCCGGCGCCAAAAGCGGCGCTGCGCGCCCTCCCGCGTGCCCCTGCCGGGGGGGGGGGGGGGGGGAGCCTCGGTACCAAAATAAAGCGATTCGATTTGAGCTTTTCTCCCGGTGTCGTTTCGACGACACAAGGGGGGCCCCCCCCCCCCCCCCCAACCTTCCTCTCTCGTCTGATAAGCAGATTTAAAAAAAAAAAAAAAAAAAAATCAACAAGCTCTTCAACCATGCGACGTCACGCTTCAAAGGGCGACAACGGGGAAGGGGGACGCTCGGCGACCGTTTACCCGTCGCGGGGTCGGCAGGGCCACCGCCGGCGGCTCGCAGCGACGCGCGCTTCACCGCGCGCAGCTCGTCGTCGCTCCAGTACACGTGGCCCTCCACGGGGTCGTAGTCGATGGCGATGGCGTGGCGCACCTCGCCGGCGCCCGCCAGCACCGCGTCCGTGAAGTCGGGCGTGTCGAGCGAGATCTGCCGCAGGTCCGTGCGCCGTGCGAGCAGCAGCACCTCCTGCGCGCCTGCCAGGACAAGGCGCGCTTTCCGTTTGCCGACGGGGATGCCGAGACGTCAAGGACGCGGGCGGGAGCGGGCCGCGGGGGGGGGGGGGGGGGGCTCGGTGTCCCGACCGGCGATAAGCGGAGGCCCGGCGGCACGCGAGGCTTGCTGGACACGGGTCCGCTGAAAATTTGCATTTTTTTTTTTTTTTTTTTGACCAGGGTAAAGGATCCAACTGATCTGTGTAGCTCTCTTTTTTTTTTTCTCTCTCTTCAGTAACACGACCTGGCCATCACGAACGATGGCTCAATGAAGCGGCTTATCGTCGTGCTTCACCTGGGGAGGGATCATGGGGCTGGGGGACAACACCGAATCAGAATGTGTTGAACTCGAGACATGCCGACTTGCCGGAGCCACAAGAGGCCAACCGGCCGGATGACCGGGGGGGGCGGCTGCACAAACGACACCGACGCGCGGCGGGCTAACGCGAGGAAGCCACGGCGAGCGAGCTTGGAGAGCGGAGAGTGGGTGTCTGTCGGGGGTGGGGGGGGGGCGAAGGGGGCGAAGGGGGCGAAGGGGGCGAAGGGGGCGCCCGCTTACCCTGCCGGCAGGTCTTGTTGTCGGCAAGGATCTGCACGCCCGTCGAGCACACGCAGCTGAAGTGCGGCTTCGCCGGGGACATGAGGCACAGGTGTGAGCAGCCTCCGTTGTCGTCGCCGCAAGGGTTCCGGCCTGCATAGGAGGATAGGGCACGCACGCACGCACGCAGAAGGAGGGGAGGTGCGGTGTGTGCGTGTGTGCGTGTGCTTTGCCAGGCACCGAGGTAGGGTGACGATTTCGCCACACCCAGAGCCGTGCCCGCCCGCGTCTGCCACTCGCGCGCGCGCGATCTGACGAACCGTCGCCGATTCTCGGGTACCGCGTCGTCTATTCCGCGGGCGTCGACGTGCGGCGGCCCCCCGCTGGGGAGGAGACGGCGGCGAGCGCGGCAAAATGTGTACCCCCCCCCCCCCCCCCCCCGTACCCCCCCCTCTACCACCACCACCACCACCCCACTTTCTTGTTGCAACTAGCACAGCGCGTACCGACCGTGGTCCGTCCAGCGCTCGTTGAGCTGCATCGGCCTCCGGTTGCTGAACGAACGCATGATGAAGTCGTGCTCTTTGCACACAAAGTGCCTGCCACAACACCTCGCTGCTGATCTCGTCAAGGAGCATAAACACCATCACGCGTGCTCCGGTCATCCTCGCAGCGGAGGATTTTGGCTGGCCATCGAACAAAGACGGTCACCGCATCGCGTGCTTTCAAACGCGCTTCAGCGGCCGTCTGGAACGCTCTTCCTTCTGATATTAGGAAGCCACGAGGAGCTATGCACTTTTTCGATTTAAAGCTTTCGTGACTGCAGGGATTCATCTTCTTGGTTCTTTCGGTAAAGTCACGTAAGAAGGGAAATAAAATAATAAAACATAATTAAATGAAATTCTCACGACTTTTCGGCCACAACACAAGTAGCCTTCTTCAGGTGAAGGAACAGAACTGTCGGGACGACAGCGCTCCAATGAACGCCTCTAAGCTTGGCAGCGTCTTTTAAGCTGGGTGGGAGGAGCAGAGCGCCTTGACAAAGGAGTTTACATATCAACAGAAGAATTTAGCATTGAAATAGCTGTGTTAAAGTGTTGGATTAGCAGGGTGTTAAAGTCAGAAATGAGCATGCAACTGGGAGATTAGCATGATGTTAATGTGAGGGATTAGCATGTAACTGGGTCACGGAAGTAGCTATGTTAAAGTCAGAGTTTACATATCAACAGAGGCATTTAGTATATTGACGCTAAAGGACTGCAACTACCCAACTATCATACAATAAACCGATGTGAAAAAAACTAAGTATAAACTACATCAATGTAATAAATGTACTCAATATATTCTTCAATAAGTTGAGCTATTAACATAAAGTAAGTGGGCATACACTACACTATATAATGAATACCATATATACTTAGATCTTTCACATCGGTTTATTGTATGATAGTTGGGTAGTTGCAGTCCTTTAGCGTCAATATACTAAATGCCTCTGTTGATATGTAAACTCTGACTTTAACATAGCTACTTCCGTGACCAGTTACATACTAATCCCTCACATTAACATCATGCAAATCTCCCAGTTACATGCTCATTTCTGACTTTAACACCCTGCTAATTCAACACTTTAACACAGCTATTTCAACGCTAAATTCTTCTGTTGATATGTAAACTCCCTTGTCAAGGCGCTCTGCTCCTCCCACCCAGTTTAAAAGACGCTGCGAAGCTTAGCAGTGTTCATTGAAGCGCTGTCGTCCCGACAGTTCTGTTCCTTCACCTGAAGAAGGCTACTTGTGTTGTGGCCGAAACGTCGTGAGAATTCCATTTGATCGTGTTTTATTTTTATTATTTTATTTCCATTCTACGTGACTTTACCGAGTAGAACCAAGAAGAGCTACGCACTTTTAAATCATCTAGATTGACAAACTAATTTCAATAAAACTGCTTTTTGTCTTTAGTTTGTTGTCCTTCCCCCGCACCCCCGATTCGCACGGTTGGCTACGTACGGTGCGAAAGACGTTCGGCAAGCATCCACCCACCTACGTACGTACGTACGTACCAGCGGGCTGCCGAAGAGGGCTGTACGCGTGGATGTCCATCGGGGAGTACATGTCGGTGACGACCTGCCGTCGGTCGGAGCCCGTGAGCTTGGAGCACGCGTGCACGGAGCGCGTCTGCCAGTCGGTCCAGTAGAGCGAGTCGGCGAGCAGCGTCAGGGCGAAAGGGTGCGACAACGACCCGTCGATCACCACCTGCCTGCTCGCGCCACGGGGGACGACGTTTGAGGCCTCGACTTCTACACAAACCCGCCGATGCGGTAGGGGTTATCCCACGCTCTCAAATGCTTTGCTCTCTCCCCCACTGTCACCCCCAACACAGCCACAGCCCCCCGCCGCCCCGTCAAATATTACATTGTGCCTAAAAACCATATCATCAGGTTTTTACTTTGCCACAGTACATGAAGGGGCACCGAAAGCTTTGGTTTTATTGACATGCGACGAACGTCCTTTGTAGGGCACGTAAACAAGAAAAACGCGTGTCAATGAGAAGGGGGATGAAGGGCAAATGAAGGGACTTGACAAGTAGTTCTCTGGCACAGTCTTCCCGGGGCCAAGGTGACCCAAAGCCCACGTTGACCCCCGTCGCGGTACCGATATGGAAGCGTGAGGGATCGTGGGTCGTGGCTGCTCTAAACGTGTTGGTAAAGAGGGCAGCCACTTGGTGCCAGCCCCAGACAAAACTACTACTATTACTTTTCTTTGACCAGATAAGGCCCACCGACATGGTTTTTTTTCTCAGAAGCGGCCTGGCCACAAATGATAAGCTCAACGGAGTGGGCTGATCCACGTGCAAATTCATATCGGGCCAAATTACTCCGAACGCGTGACGTTTCTAAATGTGGAGGTGAAAAACCGGAGGACCCGGGAGAAAAATCCACGTGACCACGTGGAGAGAGAGACGCACGCAAACTCCCAAATACACAGGCGCCAGGGTCGGGATCGAACCCACGTACTGCTGTATACCGGGCGAGGTCGTTAACATATTTGTCTGCCGAAGCTTTACAGGTGCAGCAACCCGCTCTTACGGTTTGAAGCAATTTCTCCCGAAAAACGGACAAGATTTTAGTTTGTCGATTGCACCCACACTTTCCACAATGGAAAGCCGCAAGGCGCGCATCGCGATGTGGCTGACATTTCTCTTCCAGGGTCCACACAATATACACGTGATTAAAATCCGAGACGTTGCTCGCTGACCAATGCAAGCACACCGGGGCGATGCCACAAACAACGTGACTTGTTTTGATCTCGAGATAGTGGCACTTTCGACATGAAAGGAAAACGTCTAAACCGGTTCACGGCAAAAAAACAGATCGGCAAAACTTTGCTGCGTACAGTGGGGAAAGCTAATCGCAGAAAAAAAAATAATCTACCACCGGGGATGTAAGTTTATTCTTTTTAAAGAAACGCTTGCAAAAAAGGTCTCCGCAGAACCTGTTATTTTCCTTCAACGTAAAATTCACCGGTGGTCTAAAAAAAAAAAAAACAGTCTTCTCCCCCCGAACCGAGTTTAAAGCAACCTATCACCGGAGAAAAGTGGTCTCTCCAAACGAACGCGAATCTATAATCCTTAAACGAGCTGTGTGTCCGCGCTTGTCTGGCATGGCCTTGAAGCTTTCTCAATGGAAATGTATCGGTAAACTCAACGACACTATTTTTATTTTACCAGGTAAGGGCTCACCGAGCTACATTGTAGCTCTTTCACAGAAGTGAGCTGGGCCACAAATGGCATCTCAACGAAGCGGCTTACCGTGTGGAAAATTTATAGCAGCCAAATATTATAAAAGGCATCACTAGTGTCACGGCGGCATACTGGGACGCACGTTTTTACTTGTTTTGCCACGAGCAAGTGTGGCAAATGCAGACTGATGCTTTGCAATAGGTTGTCTATTTGATGCATGAACATCTTAACACCTACTGTTTTATTGCCAGAGAGGGTAAAAGCCTATTCTTATTTTTTCGTATTGGTCAACCCTTTTTCATTCCGAGATTCAGCGGCGAACGGGACCGCCACACCCCCCAGTTCCCCATCCGGCAACTTGTAGACGTCTTGTAACGGGAAAGGGTTAATCGGTAACCGCACAACGAAAGGCGTTGGGCGTTTTTTTTTTTTGGGAGCGCGTCTCCCTTGCACGAGCAGCCCCTTCACCGGAATGTGCCATCGAGGTTGGCGCGGTGGATGTAGCTGAGCTTGGCGTCCGCCCAGTACAGCTTGGAGGCCTCATAGTCGATGGTGAGGCCATTGGGCCAGAAGACGTTGGTGTCCACGATGACGGAACGTGCCGTGCCGTCCATGCCAGCCCGCTCGATCTTGGGAACCTCGCCCCAGTCCGTCCAGTACATGTAGCTGTTCGGGGCACGCACACAACAGCAACAACAACAACAGCCATTCGTCACTAAGTGGCGGTGACGTCACCACGGCGCTTGTACCAGGCTGTTGCCTACTTTAAGGCCACGTGAAGTGTCGAACGCCCGCTGGCAGGAGGTCACAGGACAGATCCAGGTGTCACGGGTTGACCGACTGAGATGACGTGGAGATGCACCACACGCATGCAAACACAAGCTGGTCACACAAAAACACGTTCACGGCCTGATTCGCATAATGGAAAATGTGACCCTTCGTTCAATTTCTGCGGCAACGACGGGGCAATTTTGCCAATACCAAGTGGGAGTGGGGAAGGAAAGAAACACAAAATCGCATGTCATAGCTCCATATATATTCAGAATCAAAATATTTATTTATACTGGAAAAATCAGACGAGCTATAAAGAAGTTTTTCACAGATGTCCAGTCGGGGCGGGTCAGAGCATTAAAAACACGATAGGGGTGCAAAGTATAGGAAATGTAAACAAATCACTTTAAAAAAATAAGACAAAGCACTTTTTTTATCTTACCAGGTAAAGGCCACCTAGGTATTAACTTATTTTTTTTCGAAACGACCTGGCCACAATTGACATAGCTCAACAAATTTGCTTATCACGTGCAAATGTATAGCAGCAAAATAATCTCAATGCACGTTTCTAAAACGTGGAGGGACAAAATCAGAATCTACCGACCCCACTTCAAAGATGACGGATTAAGCGGCGTGCGTCAAACCCACAATATGCCGTCGAATCAGAATCTTTATTTAGTTACGGAGGAATCCGACGAGCTATAAAGCTCTTTTGCACAGATGAGCAGTAGGGGCACGGAGGGGGGGGGGGTCAGAAAGTTATTACAACAAAACAAGACGAAAACACAATCAACTTTTCAGCACTCGCATTGAGTCTGGATGATTTTGTTTCGGCCCGTAGCTCTTTACTTATTTAAAGGGCGCCACGGTGGTGCGATGTTATCTTGCTCGCCTGGTATGCAGGAGGTCGGCGGGTTTCATTCCCACATTGATGCCTGCTGTATATTTGGAGTTTGCGTGTCTCTCTCTCTCTCTGCCCGTGGTTGTGTCGATTTTTTTTCCCCTCCGGATCCTCCGGTTTTTTCCCTCCACATTTAGAAACATGCGTTTATGTTGCTGCTATAAATGTCCAAATGATGGGGCCACTTTGTTGAGCTGTCATTTGTTGGCCAGGTCGCTTAAAAAAATACGTTAATAACTCAGTGGGCTTGGCCTGGTAGGATGGGGATGGTTACATTTTTTTGTAGATGTTTGGGCGATTTGTTGTTGTAGCTGCTCTCTCTCGCTAGTTCAGCAGTTCCACTGCTGGATGATATTTTTTTTTACGCCCGAGCACGACCGCTGGTGTTGCGATCGAAACGTCGCGATTTCTTTTATTTTACACCTACGTGACTTTACCGAAAGAACCAAGGAGTTTGGGTGATTTGTTTATTTTTCTTGTACTTTACACTCCTATCGTGTTTTTGTGTTATTTTTTTTGTGGTAATGTTCTTACCCCCATGCCCCTACTGGACATCCATGAAAAAGAGCTTCATAGCGCATCGGATTCCCCCTGCAGTACAACTAAATAATCTGATTCGGATTCTTTCGGGGGGGGGGGGGGGGGCGGGCTGGTTGGCCCAGCGGTAATACTTGCAGCCTCACGGCAACGAGAAATCCCCGAGTCATCGATTTTTTCAACTCGGGAACCTTTTCCGTGTGGAGTTTGTAAGTTATCTCCCCTGTTCTGCGTCGGTTTCCTCTGAGGGTTTTCCCAATTTTCCCTAACCCCATGACTAAAAAAAAAAAGCATACAATGTGAATTTCGGTTCGGTTCGCATTAGCAATTTTTTTTAAATAGAATCGTGCCATTAAACGGTAACAAAAAACGAGTCCCCAGGTATAACCGAGCAGGGGTTAGGTTCGGCCTGATAGGCAAAGGTGACGCAAAACAGCAAATCGCTTAACGTTTGGTCCTCAACTTAGTTTTATTTTTCATTTTCCTGCTCCGTGGGGGGGGGGGGAAATCCCAACCGGTCACCCAACACGAATCATGTGGATATACTTTAAAGTCTCCTCTTAAAAACGCATTTTCGTAAGTCAGTTGATTAGATATTCTTGGTTCGTTCGGTAAAGTCACCACGTATAGAAGGGAAACAATAAAAATAATAAAAATATAAAACAATAAAATTCTCACGACGTTTCGACTGCAACACAAGCAACCATCATCAGGTGTGAAAACCACAGCAAGAAAATTTGAAAAAAAAATATTTTATGAATTTTGTTTCTTGCTGTGGTTTTCACACCCGATGATGATTGCTTGTGTTGCAGTCGAAACGTCGTGAGAATTTTATTGTTTTATATTTTTATTGTTTCCCTTCTACGTGACTTTACCGAAAGAACCAATAATGTGAATCAAAATTCAGTTGATTCTACTATTTGGCTCCTCGTGCTCTCCTCACCCTTTCCTTACAAGGCGCCTTAGGGAAAGGCGCCCTCTTACAAATGAACGTAAAATTATTATTGTTATCATCTGGCACTCTTTTTTGAGCGGCTTTTCTCACGCGCACGCAGGCCGTGACATTTCCGAACAGACGCCCCCACAACCACGCGGCCCCAGGGCCGTCAAAAGCAAGTGCGGCAGCCCCCGTTCACAGTCTATTACAAGACTTGCAGATAAGGTAAAAACAACCTTTCAGAGTAGTTGCTCTCCCGAACCCCGACATAGTGACCAGCGTGGTAATCATCGACGCTGCTTTCATCGGTTAGCAGTTCGATCCCCCCAGCAAGCTCATCGAGATTTCTGTGAGGTGATGCTGCCCCCACACAAAGACAATGATCCCTCGTTTTAGCACCAACAGACTGCTGGGGCAAGTGCCGTTGGCGAGCGCCTACGAAGGCCGGCACGGCACATGAGGGGGTGGGGTGGCCAGCAACAAGCCTGGCTGCTTTGAAGGGAGGCCCAGGACTGGTTCATCAGATAATCGCCCACTGGTGTTGGCCGTGAGCGGGAATCGAACTCGGGTCGCCGAGTTCGCAGCACAATGCACCAACGCTACCCTACCACTCTCCACTACACTCCTGCTGATCGCACACGCACACGCGAATACTCATGAAGTAAGTTGTGTTGCTCATAGAGGTTCAATGACCATACTTGACCATGCTGGTCAGTGCTAGTTGGTGAAGGCCTGGGTTGGGGGTGGGGGGGGTGGGTGATGAGTAATTCAAATGGTGAATCGTACTCATGCTTCCAGGGCCATGGTGCAGTTCACTCACTACTGCGCCAGCGCCAATACCCGCTCCCCCCCCCCCACCCCCCCCATTACAAGACAATAAACACGCAACACCAACACAAACTTGTTACAGCGCACAATGCTCACACGCCAAGCACACGCGCCGCGTGTCGCACGCACGAACACCAACCGCACGTGACAAAAACCATCTTCGTGCGCACGTGCACCGCGCGCCCACACCCCACCCCTCCATCCTCCCAAGACGTACGAACCAGCCGCTCAGAGGCGCAGTGGCCGAGGCGGATGTTTAGACACCGGGAAAACAATCCCACATGTGTGACTGATGGGGCCCGGAGGCAGCGCCAACTGTAGCAGCAGCAACAGCAGCCGTCGCAGCAGCAGCAGCAGCAGAAAAGCTTTTGTCCGCTCCCCGTCACCGCCGTGTGGCCTAATGAATGAGGCGTGATTGCCAACGCCTGCTGGGGCCATCGGAATGCCTCCCCCCCCCCTCCCTCGCCCGCCGCCCAATCCCCACCTCCCTCCCACTCCACCAGGCCCCCCCTTTCGGCGATCGTCCCACAAGGCCGTAACTATATCCTACCCCTTTGCTCTTAAACCCGGGGCCCTGTTAAAAAAACAAAAACGCCAGCAGGTTGCCCCTGCCTGCGAGCAGACAGACGGCGGTGATTTCTGTTCGGACGCAAGTGCACCACGGGGCGGGTTTTTTGTTTGTTTGTTGCCGTTCGCACGTGCCAAATCCTTCCTCTAGGTTTTTTGCTTGCAGCTGGATAATATAAACCAAATTATTTAATAATCGTCGTGTGTTTGTCCGTGTGCGTCTCTGGAATCGTTGGGCGTCTACGCAAGCGGTGATTGATTATAGCCTGTGCAAGCCGGCGTGTGCGTGCACCTGTGTTCGCTGGGGAGCGGCGGCGTAGCGGTTAGCGCGCTGCGCTACGAACCCGGCGACCCGAGTTCAAATCCCGCTCACGGCCACTACTAGTGACGATTTTTTTTTAACATGTCTTGGGCTTCTCCTAGGTCGACTCAGCCTTAAATGAGTAACCTGGTGCGGTGTGTAAAACATCGCCACTCGGGGGACAAGGCGGCCGGGCGTGGCATTGCCCATCCACCCCCCTCGTGTACCCTACCGGCCTTCAAAGGGTGCTCGCTAACAGCACTTGCCCCAAAAGTTTCTTCAGGCTATACGGGGGGGATCTTTGTCTTTGTTCGGGAGCGGGGGGGGGGGGGGGGGGGGGATGCACGCGGAGAAACGCACGGGAACAGAGTAATGATGGCTAACTCACTCGAGTAAAATCCCAGCGACTTGCAATCACTCACTTGTCATCAGCACCGACGGCAAAATTGTGTCTGTATCCGGCACGAGCCTTCCTTACGTCAACTTGGTCTAAGATATAGGTTCCTGTTGCTCGCAGCAACTCGCGGGGACACAAAGGTGGGTGGGCCAGGCGCAACGCGAATGTACGCCGACCTTCTTTCCAACCGTACGCAGCCAACCGTGCGAAACGGAGGCGCGGGGAAGGACAACAAACTAAACACCAAAAAGCAGTCCTAAAGAAATGAGTTTGTGACGTGCCGGTATCCTCAAATAGGTGCTCACCGATTGCACCGGTATTAGCGCGCTGCAAATGGATACTTATGTTGTGGGGGGTGGGAGGGGGGGCGGCGTTCGCTTGCAACTCACCCATTGGGTGAAAAAAAAGGAAGAATAAAACGCTCAAGCGTTATGGAAGTTTCGGACTAAGCCGAGCACAGCTGCAACCCACTGGTGATGCCCTAGAGGATGAAACAGGAAATGTTTGGCTTAATCAGAAAACCATGATTAAGCCAAGGAGAATATCGTAAAATCGGAAGTGCTTGGGAAGCTTTGGGGACTGGTGGTTGAGTCAGGGTACCGAGTCCACACCAGAAGTTAATAATCAAAATACAATTTACAGTAGATCGAGCAAATATCCACTGGCTTCGGGTTGGAGGGAGTGCCGGATTTTAAAAAACGCCGGATAACCACGACATTATTATTTTAAAAAGATAATTTTTGCACATTCTTGAATGACATTATGTTTTTAGTTGTTGTTATGTTTTTTGTGTGTTTTAAATTTGTTTACTATTAGAAATTGGCATACATGAACATACAAATAGACAAAAATAAATACCCTCGTGTAAAAAGTCACACTATTTACTGCACCGTACTTACCACTCCAATCTCGAAGACTCTGCACGGGGTGATGTATATACGTGCAGTATTTTCACTGTTTAAATTGTATGTAGTGTATAATGTACTGTATACACGACTTGACACGGAATTCAAGCGTAGCTACATTGTTTTTGTCACGCACGTGTTGCTCATCGCCGGACTAGTTACAGCCTTGGGAGCGGTTTTGCTGGATCGGCCCGGGGACTGCCGGATCATGTTGGAAGCAGGCGGATAATCGATAATCAACTGCGATATATTTATTCAGGAGAGCATGCCTGCATCTGAAGGGCCTATTTCAGGAGAGTTCTGTTCTGGCGGGTGTTTGATCAATTCCATTTTAAGGGCCATTTGGCACGCGGAAGTACGGGGAGAAAACGCAGGCATACGACACAGAAGGGGCCACACAGATGGGCTCACAAAGCTGACTTTCTTCACTGCCATCTCTCGGCTACTCCGGAAGCCTGTGGGGAGGGGGCCCTTCCCGGGGCCATGTCAGTCGTAAGGATTTTTTTGGCAATCTTTTTGGGGACGGACAGGTGGTTTACGAACGCGGGGGAGAGACCAGGAGCGCGCTTCGGATATCACCCCCGCCACCGATGCTAGCCTTGGCTAGGAATCCAACTCGGGTTGCGAGGGGGTCCGAATGCAACTCGCTAACCACGCCAATTGGCGTCCCACGTCAAAACGAAATCTCACGTTGATGTGTCGGCTATCGCGTGGCTTGCACAAAGACCTATCCAACATCTCAATCTAGTCAACTCCTTGATGCCAAAAGGTGATTTTAAAGTTTCAGGTTGTGATTGTTTTATCTTCTTTGGTTCTTTCGGTAAAGTCACGTAGAATGAGAATAAAATAATAAATTGATAAAATAAAATAACACAATAATATTCTCACGCCACAACACAAGCGGCCTTCATCAGGTGAAGGGGCGAGACTGTCTGGTAGGACAGCGCTGAAGTGAAAGAGCCACGTTCAGATCACGGCCTTTAAGCTGTGTGAGAGGAACAAAGCGCCCTCAAATTTCAGCATTCTTCTCATTCTACGTGACTTTACCGAAAGAACCAAAGAAGATGAATCATTGCAGTAACGAAAGCTTTAAATCGAAATGTGATTGTTTTATTTACACTTCGGATTCAACTTAAAGAAACAACAACAGTTCCAAGTTTCAAGTTGTTTAACCGGGTGAGAACTCAAGAGACCGGGATGAGTCTCACTTGCAAGAGCGACCTGGGGGGGCGTCGATCTGCCAGTAGGGGGGAGGGGAGCAATGATCGCTCCGTGTATTCCACCGAATTGGGGAAATTCGAAAATTCGGAGGGGTAATTTTTCGAATTTAGGTTCACGTAACAAATGCCCAACAGGGGGGGGAAAAAAAAATAAAAAATGTAGCCCGATACAAAATATCGAAATTGTGCCAATACAAGGCGTCGACTGAAAATACAACGCAGAGTAATGGGGGGGCCCGGCATGCCCTCACACCCCCCCGCCCCGGGCCACCAACAACTTAACCGTAACAATTCACGACAGACGCCCGTCACCAACATCATCATCATCTCATTCCACCAATTCCCCATCACGATCCAAACACCGCCACTACCGACGCTGCACCACAGCTCACCGGGCTCAGCCTCCAACCCCCCCCCCTCTCACACCGACCGACCGACCCAAACCAACCCTCGGGGGAGGGACGGCTAAACAAGAGCACCGTTATGGGACTGCCAGCGACAGGGGCTCGGCATGCGAGGATGAGCGTGGACCACGGCTTCGGTAGGAGCCGCGGGGGGGCGGGGGTGCAAGGTCCTCTCCGATGAGCGAGTGCGCACGCCCATAACCGTTATCGAACGCGGGACAAGGAGAAGTGATTATGTACAACATGTTTACAACAATAAAAAACTCCATCGGCAAACCAGAAACAGTGTGTGTAGAGAGAGAGAGAAAAAAAACCTAATTGTTTGGCTATCTGTCAAACCCTATAATGTAACCCAGGGGTTACGGGATGGGGTTGCATGCATAATACTTACCCTTCGCAAGCAGCGTTAGACTATAGGTTGGCGGTAGGGTTAAGGCTAGCATAACCCTTACGACTTGGGTGAAGGATGACAGCAGGCATTAGAGGCAATGGTTGGGACTCCCTATGATTATGTTTAAAAGGAAAAGTATTCTACGTGGAGTGGGGTGAGCGCTGGGTTAGCCCAATGCTTACGGCTGGGTTAAGTGAGGGGGGTGTAATCGCTAAGGCACGGCAATACGGAGCCAATCGGCCGCTGGAAACGTTGTTTTCGCTCGACCGCGGGCCTACAAAAGGGGCACCGCCCCCCCCCCCCCCCCCCCCCCCCCCCCCCCCCCCCCCCCCCCCCCCCCCCCCCCCCCCCCCCCCCATGGTGCTATCCCAAATCGACGAGAGATGAAAAGTCGGGAAAGTGCGACAGCTCGTAACGTGTTGGGCGTCTGCCTGGAGGCGCTCGGAGCTGCCTGGAGGCGCTCGGAGCTGCCTCAATGCGTTGAACTTTTTAACGGTAAAAGAGGACGACCATCACACCACCCAACTAATGCGTTCCAGTTACTCCGGTATCTTAAGGAAGCTCCAAATGAAGCGACGTCATTCACGTCGCACTGCAGGCCGATATTCGAATGCGTATGGACGCAACAGCCATGCGATCCAATCCCCGACAGTCGGAGGCTTAAACGACCGACAAGCCAACCTCGCCAACACCCCTAACTCAACAAGCTGTGTGACAGCCAACGGCATCAATCGCCGTCCATCGTACAGTACATCCGAATCGTTTCGCGGTGCGCGAGCGGATACAAACGGCGTGCCCGAACACCCGAGTCAACGGACCGATTCGAGGACACGTTTCAAATCGCTTTACGCAGCAGTGGGGAGACCTGTCTGTATTGTTCATGAAAATACATGTCAAGTAAATGTAAAGCAGAGCAATAACCTACTGCAGAAACATCACAAACTGCTTAATAATAATGAGCAGTTTTGTTTGCATCACCCAGTCTGATTACCTCACCCGGAAGATACTGCTTGGGATATTGGGTAAATTACTTAGGTGGGCATTTCTGCGTTTAGGAGGACGCCGCAGGGTATGACCAAACAGCCAGCAACACAGCAACAACAACAACAGCCCGCGAAGCAAATGGGTTAAAAAAAAAAGTGCTCAATATACTTCTCCCAAAAAGGCAACTCGACCGCCCCCGAGAAGCGAGGGTGTTCCCACTCTCGGCGGAATTCTCCAACACTTTACCATCGAATACGAAGCGAGCCCCGCCAACAGCAACTTGCCCCCCCCTTACAGTGCGTACGGCCGCGCGGGGGAAACGTGTTCGTCTGCGCGTCCGTACCCTTTGACGGGATGCAGGGCGATGGCACGGGGCTGGTCCAGCTCGCCCCACACGAGCACGGCCCGGTGGGAGCCGTCCAGCTCGGCCACCTCCACGCGGTTCATCTCCGAGTCGGTCCAGTAGAGCTTGCGGCCCAGCCAATCGCACGCCAGCCCATCCGGCGACGCCAGGCCCGACACCACCACAGTCGGAGAGCCGCCCTGCTCCGGCGCCAATAACAAAACCACAACAACAAAATTCAGGGGGGGGAAAAAAAAAAAAAAGCCAGCGGCGGTTCTTTAATCCACGCGTTCCTCTTTCCGTCGCTGTTAATGCGACTCCAAGTGCGTACCTTCTCCCTGATAATCTGAACACTTTCCATTTTCTTCGTTTAACATTCACATCCGTGTCACGGTAGGTAAAGCGCATTCGACGCATTAAAAAAAAAAACTAATTTCTTCCGACTAAAAATGCATGTTGGAAAGCAGTACACAAGCTATGCATGTGTGCAATTTGTTTTTGCCTACTCTGTGCCTGCATCACAATTTCCTTACTCTATAACCTTGCATAAGGAAACTCCGCAACATTCCGTAATTCCGCTAGGTGTTCTTCATTTGGTTAAAATATCAATGTTTGGATGCTCTCTTGCCGACAAGAATAACCTTCGTCTAATTGACATCGATCGAGAAGTTAAATTTATGTTGACCGCAATTTACATCTCTCGTTAATCCACTGCTGCTTGAAAACCTCCCCAAGCTTCGTTGTGGGTCATGGGAGTAGTTGTCGACCAGATGTTACCACACGTAGGTTCCCTGCGGATAGGTTAAAGTCCTGAAACCGATTTAGAAATAACTCCGCAATGGTATTAAACGTGGCCAAAACTCAAACTCAAGGTCACCGGTTTCATAGCACAATGCTCTAACCACTGCGTCACCACCGCCAGAATCCAACCTCAGAATCATTATATGTATTTATACTGGAGGAATCCGTTGAGCTGTAAAGCTCTTTTTCACAGATGTGCAGATGTCCTATGCACAGTACAGTCAGAGCCAGCCTGTCCATATAAAAATTACAGCCAATACAAACTAATCCTGTTTACACCGAGTGTACAATGCAGTGTGGACAAGACACCTACACAAAAGCACAAAGAAAAAGATCCCCCGTGTAACCCGAACAGACTGTTGGGTGCAAGCGCTGTTAGCGAGCACCTATGAAGGCTCGGCACGGCACACGAGGGGGTGGGTGGCCAACACCACGCCCAGCCCGTCTTTGTCTCCCCGTTGGCGATTTTTTTGTTTTTACACCGCACCAGGTACTCATTTGAGGCCAAGTCGACCTAGGGGAGGCCCAGGATCGGTTAAAAAAAAAATCGCCCACTGGTGTTGGCCATGAGCGGGAATCGAACTCGGGTGGCCGGGTTCGCACACAGACAGACAAACACGCACGCACACAAACAAACCGAATGCTGCAATCAGGGACATCATCAACTAAATAAACTTGATTTTGAGTCATTAAGCCGCGACAGAAATGAAACCCCTCGAGGAATCAAAGGCGAAACTATTTGTCACGGGAAACTGGGAATGAATGAATTGAGCAGTTGTAAGGTGAAACGTGCCCGCACCGTGGGTACGTGGGTACGTGGGTACGTGGGTACGTGGGTACGTGGTAGGTGGGTACGTCACGCGCGCCACCGCCCCGACCAACGCCCCCCCCCCCACCCCGCCGCCTGCCCACCGCCACAGAGGCCCCCCGTTCTGCATGGACCACTTCAACACGGGCGGCACGGAGAGTGGAGAAGAGCGGCGGCCGGCACTGTCTGAGCGCCCCGGCCTGCTGCCGTCTCCAAAACCGGTCGAGCAAGGGGGGGGGGGGGGGCGGGGAAGGAGGAGTGGGGGGCGCGCCAATGACGCTTGGTTTTGTTGTTGTCTCTGCTGGCGCGGGCCATGCGATGAGAGAGAGAGAGGAGCCGGGCCTCTGCGGGCAACTGTGGTGAAGGGAGCCGGTTGTCAAGAGTCCGTTCACACGACCCCCCCCCCCCCCCCCCCCAACGTTAATGAATGAGACGAACTCTGTGCGCGCCTGTTTTGGCAAAGTGGGCTGGCCCGCAGGTGATGCATGTGCCAGTCGCGCGAGTCGATTGTACCCACACAACGGCCGGCCTTGTCCCGTAGGCTCGCTCGCTCGCGACGTTTACACACTGCGCGAGCTCTCAAAAGCGCACGCAGACTGGCACATGCGCTATGGTGACATCACCGTCACGTCGTGCCGGCCGTCGTTGTTGTTGTTGTTGTTATGTTGGGGCGGTCCAAGTTAACCGAACGGTTGCGATGAATGGCCTGCACGTGTGTGCAACCGTAAATCAATATACACGTTTCTTAAGTGTACACTTACGCAGAGGAATTGAAATGTAACGCGGTGCGTGTTGCCGCCATTGCAATTCCATGTGCACAAACACCACGTATAAATTGGTTAGCGTGACATGCCATACATATATACGTACACCCGCGTATGTATGCAGAGCATCTTTCGCACCGTACGTAGCCAAATGTGTTGATCAGAGGCGTGGCGGCAGAACAAACTAAACGCGACAACGTGCAGTTCTAAAAAGAAACGGGTTTTCAATCTGGACGATTTTAAAAAGTGCGTAGCTCCAGTAGCTTCCTAATAATCGGAAGAACAGCGCTCCAAAGTGTTTAATTGCACGAACGTGTGACCGCAATGGCTGGCACATATGCGCGGCACGTGTACGATTTTGATACTGCGACAAGCTCTGAGTTGTTCACGTGATGCGCATCTGCCGTTCGACAACTCCTCCGGTGACACAAAAGGATTGATTCAGGTGCATACAAATACATTGTGGTGAAACACGAATAATAATAATGATGATGGTAACGATGCTACACACTGCACCTCTTTTTGTTAGTTGCACTCGTTCTCTGAAATGTTTGCGGCTTTGCCTTTTGTTTATCTTCTCCCTTGCAAAATGGCCGGGAATAATGGCTAAACGCGATCATCCGTGCAACAAATCAAATAACCTCAATCTCAAAAAGCATCAACACAACGAGCAAATATACGTCAACTCCTCGCGTGTGACACGCACGGAGAATGAAAACCGCCTGGCGGCAACTAAATGCGCCTTGTGCGGCGATTACAAGACGCGCCGTACAATGCCGGCGGTACACAATCGGCCAACGTGCGCGCGTGCGTGTCCCGCCCGTGTCCCACGCGTGTTGTGTCCCACGCGTGCGTGTCCCGCCCGTGTCCCGCGCGTGTTGTGTCCCGCGCGTGTCCCACGCGTGCTTGTCCCGCGCGTGCTTGTCCCGTGCTTGTCCCGCGCGTGCCCCCCGCCCCGAGGGGCGCGTCCCGTGCGTGCGGTACCACGAGCGAGCGGTTGAGCTGCGCGCGCTTGATGGCCTCGTCGCTGACGTCGCTCCAGTAGACGGTGCCCTCATCGTACACGTAGTCCAGTGCCGCCGCGTCCTCCAGGCCGGCCAGCACCACGGAGACGTTGGCCCGAGCCGTTCGCCCACCACCCCGCGCCGACGCCGACGCCGCCGCCGCCGCCGCGTCCACCACGCGGATGTCCCGCCGGTTGGCGAAGAGGAGAAGCGGCCAAGCTGTCGTGCGCACAGGCAAAAGGATTCGAGGCGTGGGTTTTCGCGACCAACATTATCCATAGTTAGAGGTTTTTGGGTTAGGGCGCGTACAATGTGTCGTTAAACCCGCCGCCACCCGACACAGCAAATTAGCACGGTGTTGTCACGTAAACAAAACGTGCAATTTCCTTCCTAGTTCAGCACGCCGGTGTGTTGGGACAGTAAAGCCACAACAACAATCTACAATTCGAGAACTGTGACGTTTCGCCAGTCATTACAACAACCAGCATCATCAGGCGGAGAGTTGTGGAGAAATCCTCCTCCTGTTTCGGTCTTAAATAGACGGGGGGGATAAATGTGGGGGGGTGTGGCGGGAGTTAATGTATGCATATAAATTACAACGGATATGCATATAAATTACAACGGATATCCATTATCGGTTGGATTGATAGGGTAATCAACATAACATTTACGGCAAAGGATGCCACCACGCCACCAGCCCCCACCTCCAAAACACAGATCCCCATTTCGGGTTTTTGAACGAAACTCAAAATTTGCGCACGCGAATCCGGAAGCGAATTTGCGAGGAGGAGCGTGGTGCCGATGGCGCAGCGTACACCATGGCTACACCCGGCAACAGCTCCCACCACATCACAGCTGGGGGATGTATCAATGCATGGATACCGTGTTTAAATTTACACTTTGAATGCTCCCGAGCACTCATGCAGCTTATTGTGTACATCAAATGCACTGAAGTATCGGTTCCATTCGCACGCTTGAACATTACGGGGTGCATTGTATCCGTGACATACAATGCGCTGGGTTCATGCGGCTGCAGTTATAGCTGGTAGGGGTCTTAGCGCTAAAAAAAAAAAATCGTCGCAACATTTGTCACTTGATTTGATTTTTGTGCTTTTCTAAACTCGAGCAAGTAAAGATTCAGACCGAAATTCAGGTTTGAATCAACGTGACCCAGATGGATTCGTGCCATTACTAATTTAATTTTTTTTTAAATCCAGTCACAACCCCGACCTGTGACAATTCATCAAAATCAGCACGAGGAGCGAGGGGTCGGGAGTTCCAAAGTGTCCCACACCTAAAGACATGCCTCGGCAACCAAAGACAAAGGACAAAGATCCCCTGTGTATCCTTAACAGACTGTTGGGGCAAGTGCTGTTAAGCGAGCAGCACCTATGAAGGCCGGCACAGCACACGAGGGGGTGGGTGGCCAGCACCACGCCCGACCGCCTTTGTCTCCCTAGTGGCGATGTTTACACACCGCAACAGGTACTCATTTGAGGCCTAGTCAACCACCTCAGGGAGGTCCAGCACCGGTTTAGATAATCGTCACCGGTGTTGGCCGTGAGCGGGAATCGAACTTGGGTCGCCGGGTTCGTAACGCAGCGTGCTAACCACGACACTACCGCTCCCCACCACGCACACACACACAACAACAACCACCGCCATTCGCCACTAAGTGTCGGTGACGTCACTACGGCGCTTGTGCCAGGCTGTGTGTACGTTGGCCTGGCACAAGCGTCGTGGCGACGTCACCGCCACTAAGTGGCGAATGGCGGTTGTTGTACGTTGAGGCCACGTGAAGTGTCGAACGCCCGTTGGCAGGTCACAGGGCAGACCCAGGTGGTGCCATGGGTTGACTGAGATTACTGGCCGATGCACCACCTGTGCCCCCGACTGTGCCAACACACACAAAGATCAAAGATCCCCCATATAGCCTGTAACAGACTGTAGGGGCAAGTGCTGTTAGCGAGCACCTATGAAGGCCGGAACGGTACACGAGGGGGTGGGTGGCCAGCACCACGCCCGACCGCCTTTGTCTCCCTAGTGGCGATGTTTACACACCGCACCAGGTACTCATTTGAGGCTGAGTCGACCTAGGGGAGGCCCGGGACCGGTTCAGATAATCGTCACTGATGTTGGCCGTGAGCGGGAATCGAACCCGGGTCGCCGAGGTTCATAGCGCAGCGCGCAAACCGCTACACTATCGCTCCCCACAAGACACACACACACACACACTGACACACAAACGGGCGCGCGGCTCACGAGGACACCAAGATCCACCCACCAGAGGACCTCACGGCTGCATCTGCCCCGGTGAACTTCCCCGACCTGCCGGGGCCAGCACCCCCCCCCCCCACCACCCTGGTCAGCAGAGCGGCGGCGCGCACAACGTCACGCTGCCATTGAGGCGCATCAGACCGTTGCAATCGCAGGCCAAAGCCTCCCACAGCCCCGGGGCTTTGTGCGAGCCCGCGGGCTGCCAAAACCTGCGCCTTTTAGCGGGCACCGCAAGAACGCATCGGCGCGCTCGCACCTACGCGGGTACTGTACCGCAAGGCGCCCAACAATGCTGTCTTTCTTCGCACCGGCGGGCGGGCGGGCGGGCGGGCGGGGAAGCAACACCGTAACGTTTTTCTTTGCTACAATCGCAAACTGCTTGGGGGTCGAGTTTATGAATTTGCCGCCGTCGTTCGAATGCCAGGTTATGGCTGTTTGGTTCCGAGAGATTTCCGCAGCAGCTGTGCGTTCAATGTTTGGCAGCGGCACGAATGAGCATATGTACGATTGTGAAGGATGTGAAATCTTTTAATAATGATGAGGCCAGTTTCAAACATTGGGCAACCTCACATTCAAAATTCTAAATAATAAATTTTGGGTGTAAGTTAAACCTGATTATATACCGTTTTAATCACGGAACAAGTCAATGGTTTGACTCGTGTACGTAACTGAATGTCCATTACCATCCCAGCAAAGATGAAACGTAATTTTTTTTAGTATATCCAACACTCACATGCGTTTTTGTTCTATCATTCATTAATATTTCCTGCTATGACATGGATCAGAAACATGGACATCGAGGAGGTAGAACAGCAATTGTGCAGATAACGGAGAGCGTTCAAAGAGGCACGGAGAGAAGAACAATTTGAATTACACTGAAGATGGAAAGCGGAGCACATGGATTGGAGAACGTACAAGGGCTTAACGACATCATTTTGATGTTCAGGAAGCCGTGGATAGAGCATGACGGAGGTGATAACAAGCATGGCGAGATGCATGCAAGGAATTACACGGCCAGAGAGAGAAAGAGGAACACGCGGTGGATCGGGAAACAAGAACAAATCGGAGGCATTGTATTTACTGATCTCCTTCCAACAGCGGAGAGAGACCCTGGCTGATGATGACAATCAGTGACGTGGGCCCACCCAGGTTTCTCCCGGGATTCCCTTGCTTGCAGAGGCACGGCGATCCAGGCAATGAAACCAGGTGAGGCAGGCCTGGCCCTAGGGGGCCACCAGGCCTCAACTGCATGGATGTTTAAAGATAATTTATTTGCAAACGGAATTACGTCGCGTGGAATAAAGTTTCGATTTAAAGCTTTCGTGACTGCAGGGATTCATATTCTTGGTTCTTTCGGTAAAGTCACGTAGAGGGGAAACCTGATGATGATTGCTTGCGTTGCAGTCGAAACGTCGTGAGAATTTTATTGTTTCATATTTTCATCATTTTATTGTTTCCCTTCTACGTGACTTTACCGAAAGAACCAAGAATAAAGTTTCGATTGTCAAGGTAAAATACGGTTGAGGCCTTTGTGGAGTGTGACGCCGCGAGACATGTGACATCATCAGTGACATCATCAGTGACATCATCAGCCAAGGCGCGCGACGTCACGCCGAATCGAAAACACCCCGTGTGACGAATGAAGCGCGGCCGACACGTTGGATAATCACGCCATAATTTTTTTACCTGGTTTGCTCAAAGGGTAAGCCTCTTATATGGCCAAGCAGAGTTGGCCAAAACCCAACGAAAATCCGCCCCAAAAAAATTGATGCGGTTGCCGCTCCGATCCAGTTAAGATATAAACATTGCGCTTTGCATCCGAGGCGTTAAAAGCAATAATGGTGGAGACTTTGGTTAACCCGAACAGCGGCCAATAACCAATTGGGTTGACTTCCTGATAGCAACGCAAACTTTATACCGACCTATTATTTTAAAATGTTGCGCATAGAAGAAGACCCGATGATGCAAGGCAGTGATGAGAAGGAAAACTGGACTAAACGTAGGATGAACAACAACAGGAAAATAAAAGTGTTGTTGTTGTTCGTAAATAAGGAAGGAATCGGAAAGAGAGGAAGACCTGACAGAGAATGGCTTGATGACGATGACATAAGAGATTAATGCTAGAAAGATGTGACCACTACTTGAGTGTATTGGCACTACAAGACCGAGAGGAAAGTGTAAACAAATATAGAAATGTGCAGTGGACAACTACAGGCTATCTGCCCATGGATCTTGATGATGATTATTTCCATGAGATTATCAATATGACAATTACAATAACCCGCTACGGATGGCCAGAGCTATGGTGCAATACCGCAACGCTTTTCAACCTTAGTTGCAAAGCGTTAATAATGAGTACGCGCACCTTTAAAACGTTTGAAATGCACGTAAAAAATTGTGGCAATGCCTACTTATAATTGTTACGCCTCTCTTGTGCAATTGGAAAGTGAAATTATGCGAGGTGGTGGCAATATTAAACTAAGTATCATTTACACAATTTACATTAGAGTGTATTCGCTGGCACTTATCCGTGTCACCTTGTGTAGTAACCACACGGTGACAAGTCTTTCGCCCTACGTAAATAAATGTTCCAATGAAGACCAAATTTAAAGCATAGTGAAACTTATCTTATTGCAAGCGATTGCACGGCATTTTTTACAACATTTTCTCAACATGATCCATTTCAACGTTAAAGTTTTCCACATTATGAAACGTTCTGGTGAGATCTGCGGCTTGGAAACATGTTTCGGAATGTTCGGCAAATGGGCCTGCTCTTTCAGCACGAGCCATTCTGCAAAAACATAAATCGTCCCTGGGTAAACAAAAAAAGTCGGCAGGCCAGTCTATTAAGGGAGCCTCCCGATTTTCTAGGGGATTTTTAACCATGCAAAGAAATCTGCGCCCAGAAACGCAAATGAGCACAAGGCAGGCAAACTAACTTAACACCCACATAACTGAGGTTGTCT